CCTAAACTTGATGGACAGGTTTTTTTTAGTATCATGTTTTTCTTCATTGACCAAAAAACAACACCTTTTTTTGTCAGTATGCCATGCTATCCAATATCCAATATGTGAAAGGTCAAAGATCAGAGGTCAATGACCTACATGTTACATCTGACCTATTTCTATTGAGTTGTGAATGTTAGATATAGTGAAGAACTGAACCATGCAATATAGTTCTATGCCATTGCTTTTATATCTGAAGCTCAAGGTCAATCAGTGCTATAAAATACAAGATAATAAAAAAGATATAAATACCCTAAAAACAAGATTTTCTGTCAAAAATGTAAGAATTATTATATTTTTTTAGGAAAATAACTAACTTAAATTTTAAAAGTTTTCTTTTTATTTGGCCTAATTTAGCTATACTTGGCAATTATTTTCATCTGAATTAGTTTTAAAGAATTAAGAACTTAACACAAATTTGTGTTTTTTTCACCTTAAAAATAAAATATTCTTTAATTGGCTTTTGTTTTTTATCTTTTTCTAATAGAATCGATGAACTTTCAAAGATTTTTTTTTTGTGTTGTCCCTTGAATTGATAAATTTTCAAATGTAGTCTTCATTTTTTTTTTTATTCAGAATGTAAGCTTACTTCTTTAGCAGTGGTTCCCAACCTTTTTAAGCCTTCACACCCCTGGAGCAATCACCTGGACCTTTCACACCCCCAAAAATTTGTTTCATCCACATTTCAGCATGTGATGATGTGAGGTGCTCTCTCAATTTAAAATAAATTCTTCTCCTACACCAGTTGACCACACCCATGACACCCTAGTCCTAAACCCCCAGGGGGGGTGAAAACACCCCACGTATTCTCAAAACAATGTCCTAGAATCAATGTTAGAAGATAAGAATTTAGGACATCCTAGTTGCTAAGATCATTTCGAACCAGGGTTCTAAAGTAATTTATTTTAAGTTGAAATTGCTATAGAATAATTTTTTAATGTAAACTAATGGATGTGCATACTATAAGAATATCAACACAGCTGGTATCTGGCAGGAAGTAATATTCTAAGATTAACAGTAAATTTATTTTGGTTCCAGTTGGCATGCAATTGGTGGAGATTAAGTTTCAGGAATTTTAACAGCTGAATCAAACTTCCAAACCTAATGACTCAGATATTGGCACCTAGAATTAATCATACTTCATGAAAGTTTAAGATGATGGGAGAAACAAAAATTGTGCCTTAGACCTTTATCCCAGTGTTCAACAATACATGAGTTTTTATTAAAGGTTGGAGGGTGTAAGTGTAATAACAGATTTTCCTTTCACTCAATAATATGTTGGTTTTGTTAATAAATTTTCATTAAAAGAAGAGTATGTGCAAACGTTTTGAAAACAGAAATTTGAACTAAAGCCTTTTTCCCAGTGTTCAATAAAATGTAGGTTTTGTAAATTTTCATGAAAAGAAGAGTAAAAAAAAAAAGTTGTGAAAACATAAATTTGAACTAAAGCCTTTTTCCCAGTGTACAGTAAAATGTAGGTTTTGTTAATATTGTGAAGACAGTTTTGGTTTTTCTTCCAATATCAATAGAGACTTCACACATGCCATTTGAAAATTTTATTTGATTTGCATTATAATGCTATATTTGTTTAAAATCCTAACTTAATGTAATGAAGTCTGAAATATTAAATTTCATTCAAATGCTTTTAAAACCACTTAAAGATGGGTTTCCTTATTTTTTAATGTCAAATTAAGCAAACTATTTGATTAATTGGTGTTGCTAATGAATTATCATGTATTCTTAATCATATCATTATGTTCTTATTGCATATAATTAAGAGTTTTAACCAAGCATATATATCCATGTAAGTACAGTCTGGATAAGCAAAAAAAGACTTTTTGATCTTTCTTGATCGGTTACTCATTGGAATTCTACTGGTAATTCTCTTCTAATTTAGCTAATTATGAATTAATTATGAGTGAAACATACTGTTATTTTTAGAACACCTACTTTCTATTCATATAAGTATTAGCATTTTCATTTTCATCAATAAAAATAAGGGAACCCATCTTTAAATGATATTTTCTCTTTTTAAAATCTAATGTTTTGAAGTGCTATTGTTATTGAATGGTGACAATCTAATTTATATAAGGAAATTGATGTAATGATACAGATTTTAGCTTAATCATACACTCTGGTTTGAATTACTTTGTTAATTATTGCTACACAAGGATGTAAAATAAAAACAGAAACAAGTTGGGTTCAACATTGCGACAAGTAAAGTAAAAGAATCCATGTGAACTCTCATTTAAAGGGATAGGTGCGCCATTTTGGGGGGTTGATTTAAGTCTTGAATATGTGTAAATAGTCTTCAGAAATAATGACATAATTCCTGCAAAAATATCTCAAACTAGGAATTTCTTTTCGTATTTCTATAGATGTCTTTTCAATATGGCAGTAGTGAATATTAGTACGATTGGTAAAAAACATGGTGCATCTGTCCCTTTAAGATATAGGTAGAATACCACTAAAGTATAAAATTGCAATCATATCAAAGGACCATCCAAATTTTAGATAAGTCTGGATAATTGTGAATAAAGTGTGCTTTCATCTTCTTGCCTCAAGCAAAGCTGGAAAAATCTCATTTTTGAGATAAAAAAAAATGCGCGCTATATACAGAAATATACAGTATTTACTATGAGAAAGTGAAATAAATAATCTAGTTTTTATAAGACAGGTATTGAACTTTGATCACTTGTGGGTAGGATTAAGGATTTAGGGATTATTCATATCTCATTTTTGCTGACTGGACAAAAGATATTAGATTACTGTACTGGCTACGACAAAGGTACCATAGTAAAGCTCTTGAAAGCAGTAGTGTTTCTACTATGTGTTGAACTTTTAGGAAAAATTTTGAACTTTGGCCATTTCATTAATCTAGGATTAGTAGGATTAGTAGGATTATTAATTCAACATGTCTTATTTTACTGACCCTTATTAAGGCCAAATTATTTTGTTACTTTAGACAAAGGACACTATTGCTAAGAAAGGTAGATATGTAACCATGCTTTTTGAATTTCGTCTTAACATTTCCAGGTTTCAACTATTTTGTTGTTGGCTTTTTGGGAAAAGTTCCCTTGATAGTATTGGAAATTAAAAAAGATCGGCAGATAGAGATATTTGTTTAAGATTACCCTTGTTGCACACTGCAGGGATTCTTTGGAAGCCATATTGGAAGCTTGGGTTCTTTTCTCTAAGAATTGTAAAGGATTTCCATAGTTTCTAAAAATAGACTCAGGAAATCCCTGAATATATGGATTATTGATTGTCATGTCATGTTTATAAGTGAGTAGCGAATTCTCTTAAGACATGCCACCATATTGATTTTATATTGGAAAGCTACAGGTTGGTACAGGTTGTTTTGGATATTGCCATGAAAATGCTGTAAGGACTGTTTGACACAAGCTTACTAGTTTTTTTAGTACTGGTATAGGGTTATAAGTTTTTGGTTGTACTTTCAATTTTGAAAATTATGAAATACTGGTATTACCATATTTGGTAATTAAGTATATGCGAATGTGGAGATCTTTGAAGACTATTGATGGGACACTCCAAATTCATTCCAAAAATTAAGCGGTTACCACTATAATGGCTAAAATTCCCTCATTTCACACTGCATGGTATCATGTTCATTAGCCCAATCAGGCAGACACATGAGACATGTTTTAAGATTATTTGTTAATGTTAAGTACAGGTGTTATATGAAAATTAGGATTATCAATACAGTTGAAAATTGAAGAAACAAACACACAAGTGTGGACGTAATTTAGGAGATCGGCCATGATGTCATAGAGGTGGTTTGTGTATCACATGATGCACAACTTTTGTAACAGTTGTTAAAGCGTTTTCTCCTTCCAATTGTCCTACTCAAGTCATGTATGTGTTCTATTTATAGCATATCACGGCTTAGCTGATTGCTCCTATGTTGACTGGCTCAGTGACGCTTGCTCGCTAACCTGAACGTCACGTGTGCTACAGGCTGTGCATGTTAAAGATCCCTCAACAGTTGGAAATCGAATGATAGCAGGCTAATGCCTCTGTCTTGGCAAACTTTCCTCCATTGCACTCTGAATGGCATTGCCTGTCTTTATTAGCCCACATGGTGCAGAAAAGTAGGACGTAAAACTCCATTTATATCATTTCCTATGCTGACAATTCACCTATTTTATTTTCAACTGTATCCAAAATCTCACACCAGACACAATACTTCAGCCATTTGGACCTGAAGCCATCTTTTGTCTGTCATGATGTAGGATATCTATAAACTGGACTATTTACTGTATTGATTAATGAACAATGAACATATACTAACGAAGGTAACATCAGATTAGTCATGAGGTACGAACATGATGTGAACACTAGTTACTGACAACCCTGTACTGAACTTCGTATCTTGTCTATTCCCATCTCAAGCCACCTATTGTCTGTCATGATGTTGGTTATCTATTAACTGGACTAGACTAATTAATATATTGATTAATTAGCATGTCCACTACGAAGGTAGAGTTAATGACTGGACAATATATGGATTTATATTTTTCCTATATGTTATTATTCTCCGTCTGCCTTTCTTCCTTGTCGACTAATGATAGTGACATTACAAAATATCAACTGGTTTATTGGTATGACTTGAGAGTTTTCCACATTCTAGATTGATTTCTCTAGCCGGGGAGATAACGGTTATAACATTGCATTGAAAACGATGTTACATACGCACCAGCACAGGATGTATGAGTTTATAATTCTAGAAAATAAAACAGAATTGTGTGTTAATAAGTAAAACTTTAAAATCGGTTGTTATCTTGACAGTAGATCATCTAGAGTTAGTTTAAGCTTAATTTTTCTCTCTTCTAATTGATGAAAATTTATTTTTTCTATGTTTTGAACTCAAAATTTTAAGGTAGAGCTCTGACTGTGGTATTCATTAAGCACTACTTTCAATTTAGTTTGTTACTATTTTAGATTAACCAATGAAAGAAGAAGTTGTTTATAATGAGTGATATATTTGTCAAGACAATTATTGGAGTAATTAAGGCAGTGTCGTTAGTTTACGATGTCGTCTCGTTTATTCCGTATTATTTTATGTTCGACCCCAACGCTAAACTTAGAAAATCACGCAGACTGAAGGTAAGCCGAATTTTGTGACTTTGAGGATGTAAAACTCCATTTCATTTTGTCCGTGGGTCGGGCTGAATTTAGGATGCAAGTCATCTATTTGACACCCCTCAATTTTCTATTGAACTCTTCCACACATGCATTGCTGCAAATGATACTTATAATTGGAATAGCTCACTTGTAAAATAAGGGGTGTTTCTTGTCGAATTACATTCAGGTTTGACAGTAATGCATATAAACCAATCATGATGCGAAGCCCAATTAGGTACAGAGCAGTAGGGTGTAAAACTCTATTTCATTTCAATTCCAGGCTAAACCAGTATCAGACGGGTATGGTGCTCCTTGGAGATCGACTGAAACACCAGGAGGGGAGCTAACTACAACCCTATTTCCTGAATGTAAAACCCTAGATGATCTGTTTCTCCGTGCTGTTCAGCTCTACTCTGATAAACAATGTCTCGGTACCCGCCAACTTATTAGTGAAGAAGATGAAAAACAACCTAATGGAAAAGTCTTCAAAAAGGTAAGTTGGAGTTTCAGGAAGATCTTAAGGTTTAATAATGAGTTATTGCCCTTGATATCTTGAATAGTATAGAAAATCTGAATTGGCTTCTTACTGTCTTTGTGAAAATGGAAAGTTATTGCCCCTGATGACACAATCCTCATCTGGACAGCTAGCTAGAAAGGATAGAACTTTCGAATATAGGACTTATTGTTATCTCATACTGCTGACACACATGTTTCAGATACACAATCCTCATCAGGACAGCTAGTTCCCCCATTTCCAGTTCTGAACTTCAGACATAGGAGCAAAGTAGCCCAACTCACTGAACCTAAAATTGGCAGTAAGCACCCCAAGACAATTTCTTACCTTGCAGGTTATCCTAGGAGACTATGAGTGGCTATCCTATGAACAGACCTTCACTAGAGTAACTCATTTTGGTAGTGGTATGCTAGCTCTAGGTCAGAAAGTTCGTCATAATATAGTAATCTACGCTGAAACCCAGGCCGAATGGATGATAGCTGCTCAGTCTTGTTTTAAATACAACTTTCCTAGTAAGTATTCCTTTAAATGTGGATGGGCTGTAGCTCAGTCTGTTAGAGAGTTGCAATCTTTACATGATGTCACATGTTATAAACATTGAAGGAATGGTGGTCATGAGTTCTTATCTTCATCGGCATGTTAAATTCTTGGGACTTGGAATAAGTTAACTATCCTTATTATTCCAAGATCAATGCCACAAGGTTTGGCCAAATACAACATGGTAGACAGGAAACCCATGTGCTAATACCTTTCTCTTATATACCTTTCCTCATTGTTCACTGCAGCCATTGCTTGTTTTCATTAGCCCAATTGAAAGCAGAAAAACAGGAGTTAAAACTTCAATTTTATTCTCTTTTTATCCTCACAACTGCCCAATTTAATCATCTAGCTAGGATAAGAAGCAATCACTTTATATAACACAGTCAGACAGGACCGGCAAGCTAACCATCTTTCTGTTTGTTATTTTTAGTTGTGACGCTGTATTCAACACTGGGACAAGAAGCCATCACCCACGGTATCAACGAGACCGAAGCTACCCATGTTATTACTAGTAAAGATTTGGTACCCAAGTTTAATGTGAGTACCCAGGGTCTGAATACATTCTGTGCATTTTGCAGATCCCACGATATTTTGAAATCCAAAAAGAGACACTTGTAGATGGCCCATTAGCCAGTCTTTTCATATTAAGTATCACTTGATAGTTTGAGAAGCGTTGTTTAATGGTAGCATCTTTGCAGAATTTCCCACATTGTGTACTGCAATGCTCAAAGGGCTTATGCAGATGTTCTTGAAATTTCTCTCCATGCAAACTGTATGGTGAATCGTATAATCATTAGCCCAACTAATACCAGTAAATGACTACAGATAATCCAGGAAAGATTAATGCCAAGAGGTTTGGTCAAAGATCAGCTGGTAAACCTAAGTTGTTAACCTTGTAAAAATGGTTATTTGTTATTTTTATCATGTATGACTTTGTAAGTATAGAAGGACAATAGCTGTTGGAACTGTTGGATTTCAATTTTTCCTCTTTGATTATCAGGGAGCTCTGAAGTTGATGCCCAAGGTCACCCATCTAATAGTGATGACTGAAGATACGAAGTTACCTCAACTGAAAGACAAGCCCAATAATGTTAAAATGATATCAATGGCAGAGGTGGAAGTCATTGGTGCCAAGGAAGAAAACAGTAAGTAGGGTAGTGTTTGGGCAGGGTACCCACAAGTTAAGCTGTAATGCCCTGGCCACATATTCTCGAAACGACCTTAGCGCTAGGATGTCCTAGGTTCTTATCTTCTAACATTGATTCTAGGACATCAAACCACCCACAAAATGTTAATTTTTTTGTCTTTCCCTAAATTTCCAAATGTTAAATTTCAGTAAAAACACCAGTCACTAAACCTCAGAGGTCTGATACAGCAGTGATTATGTATACTAGTGGTTCTACCGGCAGACCGAAGGGTGTGGTCATCAGTCATGGTAACTTAATGTCTGGAATGTCAGGACAGTGCCAACGTATTCCTGCTTTAGGGTAAGACTCAATTAATCATTGGGGGCGCTCGATTGGTCAGTTCTGAACATGTTCCCAGTTCCAATTCTAGACCTCAATCAAATTGATATACTACATTCAAATATTACCTTTACATCCTTCCTGGGTAATTTCTAGACCTTTGCACTTTGTTTATGTTAAAGTGAATAATTTCTTTGTTTTCAGTCATCCTGATATTTATATTGGTTACCTCCCCTTAGCTCACGTATTGGAAGTCAGTGCAGGTAATATATTCTGATCTTATCAAAGAAATACAGTCACTTAAATATTTACTCTATTAACTAATAAGATTTTATAATCAGCTATCCAGAACACTTATCAAAATTAAAATCTAGTATACTGTTCTCTTACAAAGCAAATGTGAATTATCACTAAACTTTCATTTGCTGGATTAACCATACCCATTTACAACTAGATCGACTGGAATAATGTACAAAGATGACTTGTTCTCAAACGACCAAGATTATAAACCACAACCACCATTGTTTTAGAATTTAGAATCTACTTTGTACTTTAATTCACCCTTCTGGTTTTTTTTCAGAGATATCATGTCTGGCTCATGGAGTAGCTATAGGTTATAGTTCCCCACAAACTCTTACAGATACATCTTCTAAAATTAAAAAAGGCTGTAAAGGAGATGTATCTATTCTTAAACCAACTTTAATGGCTTCAGTACCGGTAAGTTTTATACTTCTCATGTAGCAGACGTTGCTTTGGCTCTTCTTTGCCAAGTCAGATTTGCTTTGTAATTTTTGGTCTGTATTTAATTTGCTTTTGGGTGAACAATCCTACTATTTAACCCCTTGGACTAATTCTATTAAACGAGCCCACTTTGTCTTCAGTATAGCGAAAGCTGGTGTCTTTTTAAAACAATTTGAGTGGAATTGCAGGAATTACAGACGTCTGATTGAAAATTAGAATGGTACAAATCAATGCTATCAGTGTCCCTGATACAAATAAAAAGTTATCTTTACAAAAATGATAAAAAATTGATGATAATTTTTATGTTTGTAGGTGATTTTAGATCGTGTATATAAAGGTGTATGGGATAAAGTAAACAGTGGTGGAGCTTTCTCTGAGGCATTCTTTAAGTTTGCCTACGATTACAAGAAAAAACAGTTAGAGAATGGTTATGATACACCTATCTTAAATAAGTAAGTGAACGCTCTGAAATAATTCAGCAAATTGTCGAAAACGCTAACCATAACTGAGGGAACCAAGATTTTTCTTGAAGAACCAACAGACAAAAATCCATTTGTCACTTGTCAGCTATTTCACTGTAGACAAACTGACAAAGTTCGCGAGAAAGAAAAGAGAATTTAAACTTCGGGTCCAAGCATCAATACTGATTATCAATTTTACAAACTTGTCATTATCCAGTCTCTTTCCTGAAGTCACTTTATCTTTGTCCTAAGTTTTTGAATTTCTGTATATTTTAGGTTATTATTTAGTAAAATCTGTGGGTTATTGGGAGGACGTGTACGATTAATGTTATCAGGTGGCGCCCCCTTATCTAACGCCACACAGCGCTTCATGAACATCTGTTTCTGCTGTCCTGTAGGTCAAGGTTACGGACTGACAGAAACTTGTGGTGCTGGAACAGTCACTGAAGGTGAGAATTTTGTTGTTAATGGCAGCATGCATGTCTCCATTGATGTTTAACCACACCCCCTTATATATAAAGATACCGTTGTTCACTTTATCCAAATGGCTTTGTATCAGGTGGTGATTTGATTTAACCAATCAAAGAGACCCTTTGCAAAACAGCGGGATTCCCTGTACTCGTGTTGTATTTCAAAGTTTGTGCATGTAAATTTATAAAACTGTGTGAGATCGTGAATATTTATTATCAAGGCCCCTAAAATGAGGTTTACCTGCCACAGTGAAACACGATAGAAATATGTAATGGGACATAAATTGTTTTGTATTTTCAGTTACTGATCTCAGTCTAGGAAGAGTTGGAGCTCCGTTAATTTGCAATGAAATCAAACTACGTGATTGGCCAGACGGTAAGAGTTCAAAGGTCATCTAAAATATCCTTGGTCTGACTTCATATACTAAGAAATTTCTCAAGATTTGAGACAAGAACATCTTACAACATTCACTGGTTAAAGATTTATGCAACATTTCGATGTGTTTCTCTCATGGGCATGAAAACAAACCTTAAAAAAAAATAGTTTGGTCAGAATTTCTTCTTGATAATAGAGCAAAGTTTTGGAGCTCACATCCAGTAAGTCTATTAAACATATCTTAAAGTACACATGCCTTTTCCCATTGCAAAATACAAAATCTGTTCTCTTTCTTGTAGGAAACTATACGAATAAAGACACGCCCTTCCCCAGGGGTGAGATATTAATAGGTGGGGGTAATATCACTATGGGTTATTATAAAAACCAGGAGAAGACAGAAGAAGATTTTATGGAGAAGAATGGAATGAGGTATTTCTGTACTGGTGATATCGGACAGTTTGAAGAAGACGGCAACCTTCGAGTCATAGGTAGGGGACATCTTCACAATGTCAAGTTATTACAAACTTTATACTTATACCTTGACTGCATTAGCCACCTTTCGTGTATCACATCTTCACAATGTCAAGCTGATGCAATCTTCGTCTTTCACCTTGACTGCAATAGCCACGCAATGTACCGATTTGATTGGATTGTACGCTAAAAATACAGCCAATCAGAGCCCTCCACTGAAAAATTGTAAACATTATGGCTTATTGTAAGACTTTCTGTCAAGGCCTCTGATTGGCTGTATTCGTTGGGATGCAATCCAATCAAATCGCTGCATTTACAAACTTCAGACATACATGAAAAGTGACTAAACAAACATGGTAAAATGGAGTCTCTTGTTGACCCTTATGTGGCAATAAGTTACATGTATTAATTGTAGACAAACGTGATACCAGATTCTTTTAATGAAGAGTGACATTGCATTCTATTGGGCAGTTTTTCATATATATTATTATTTCAGATCGTAAGAAAGATTTAGTCAAATTACAACATGGAGAATACGTGTCGTTATCGAAAGTCGAAACAGCATTAAAAATTATGCCAATGATTGAACAAATCTGTATTGTTGCCGATAGCAGCAAGAGTTTCGCTGTAGCCCTTATCATACCCAATCAGAAAAATTTAGAAGAATTCGCTAAAAATAAGGGATGTAGTGGAAAAGAATTTTCGGAAATGATAAACGATTCCGATCTTGTTAAAAAAGTCACAGAAGAAGTTAAATCTTTTGGTAGCAAATGTAAGTCAATTTTTAGAGATAAGAGATTTGTGTATTATTGACGATTCTGTGTGCACTCCTTTTACTATTCCTGCAAATTTTACCTTATTGTACAGTGCATGGCATCTTGATTTAGTCCATTCAATAGTGGAAAACAGGGGTTTTAAATCATCCTATATTTCGATCGTTGACAAGAAAAATGACGATGTTCTGGCAAAATTTCTCTCATTTCACACTGCATGGTATTTCCCATCTTATTTACGTCAATAAGGTGCAGACAGTTAGGGCTTAAGTTTTCGTTTTCTTTCATACAATAATTGGGAAGTAAAAATAGACATTACAATGACCTGGAAAAATTGGCCTCATTAAACACTGCATGGCATCTCCATTACCAGAAGCATACAAGTTGGCTTCATTTCATTATTTAAATCAGGAACAGAACCATAGGGTGTAAAACTCCATTTTGTTTTTATTTCAGCTAAATTAGAGAAGTTCGAAATTCCCCAGAAGATCAAATTAATTAATGATTCATGGACGCCAGATACAGGGCTCGTGACAGACGCCTTTAAACTGAAACGTAGAAATATCGAGGAGAAATATCATAAAGATATAGAACGTATGTACGAATAGACTAGAGCTTGACTGTACATTCCTTTTAACATTGAGAATACAGACCACAATAAATTTCTACATTGCGGATTCAAACAACAAATAATTTCTTCATGGTGGATTCAGACCACAATAAATTATTACTTGGTGGATTCAGATAAAAAATAATTTCTCCATGGTGGATTATTCAGATCACACAAATTTTCTACATTTGGATTCAGACAACACAAATTTTTTTACATGATGGATTTAGACAACAGTTAATTAATACTTGATTAATAACACTGGTAATGTGCTAGTGAATTAATTAATTTCTTAAATTATGGATTTAGACCACACAAATTTTTATATGTTGGCTTCAGACCACAATAAATTTATACATATTATTATTGGATTCAGACTACAAATCATGTCTGAATGAAGAGAGTCAATTGCCTCTCTATGTTGACTTCAGACCACATTAAAGTTTTACATGTTGAATTCAAACCGCAGTTAAGTTTTAATGTGAATTTAGACCACAGTTAATTACTTCATTGAGGATTCAGACCACTATAAATACATCAAAATATCCATATCATAAACTGCCGGACCTAGACCACTATTCATCTACCTTAAAGTGAAGTTATTCTTTTGTGTGTTGATTTTATGAAAGTATGGTTTGAGTTTGTTTAATTAAGAGTTTTTTATTCATTAGTCTCAATTCTGATATTCTGATGCCATTCTGCAATTAAGGTTGAGTCTCCTTCAGAGAGTCCACATAGCTAAGATAGTTACTTAGTATTTGGGTTTAGAAACTCATCAACCCTTTTAGAGAGTCCACATAGCTAATAATGTTAGTTGCAATCAGGAGTGTCAACTCGGCATTTCTTCAGAGAGTCCACATAGCTAATAATGTTTATTAGGTATTTAGGTTTATCAAGTTGATATCCCTTTTAGAGTGTACACATAACAAATAATAATTGGGCATTTTGGAATAATTAACCTGGCATCCCTTTCAGGAAGTCTTAGCATTTAAGAATTTTTGCAGATCTTGTATTCATTTAGGTTATTTAAAAATTTTGACAATAAATTTGATGAGTACCACTACCATAAAGGGCATGCTTTCCCATGAGAAACACTTCCTTGGACCCTGTTATTGTGGTAGGATCCTATTTTGAGAGTTCACATAACTTATTAATTTATACATTTAATATTAATTATGCAAATTGTAACACATTCATTTACCTTAAATTTTGTCAAATTTTTCTCCCATCGAATTTGTCAATAATATTCATAATGCTCAACAATGTAAAAATGAAAGAATTTTAAAGCAACAATCCTTAAAACGAATGTGGCCAAAGCGAATAAATCCTTTTCAAAATGAAAAATTTAATCCTTGTGTATGCCGGGGAAAAACAGTTATGTATCAGTCAGTTTCATCTTTATGCATTTAATCGTAGTCAAACATAACACAAAGTTTGATTTTGAAATCTGATACTAATTGTTATTATACAGTTATATCAGCTGATCAAGTCAATATTTAGATAAGTTATATAACTGTACATATCAAGAACAACTGTAAAGTAAAACCTCGCCTGCATTTTTTTTTTTTAAATTTTGGAGTTAAGTTATTCGAGCATACTCTAGATTTTGATCAATTTGGGAAAAAGTACCAGGCTTTGTGATACCTCTTTTATGCATTTCAGAAAATGTTTCTGGTTTTAAATTTGCTGTTGGCAGTATTTATTTATTTTGTATATTTTTGTCTTGAATTTTAAGTATTTAGTTGGCATGCATTTGTCAAATTTTAGGGCCTAGATTAGTTATTGGTTAAAATTGGTTCAAATTGTATTAATCTTTAAAAAAAAAAAAAAAATAGCGTCATTGAAATTCCATGTCCTCGTATTACATGTTACTTTGTCGTGGAAGCAGTAGCTGGTAACATTTGAAAGGATGTTTTTCATTGGTTAGAATATCTACAAGATCGTATAAAGGATCCAATCAAATTAGACCTCCGCACCAATAATAACCTGTTAAATCCCCCCATGGTTAAGTGACATGTCAAGAGCAGACATGGAATTTCAATGATGTAACTTTGTTGTTATGAAATTTGTTTGTTTGTTTGTTTGTTCGATTATAGTGCTATAAATTATTGCTAAATTCAAACCCCATTTTATATTTATTTACAAATTTAATGTTTTTTAAGACAGAAAATGATGATGTATGGTTAAAATTCATAGCGGCACATGAAGCCATTTGGATAAAGTGAACCACGGTCCTATGGTTAAAATTCCAAAGCTGTGAACACAGTCTTGTCCTTTATTGATAAGGAACATGATTTTAATTTTGGAGTGGAATTATAAAAGAGATACTATGTCCTGTAAAATCAAATATTCATTTTGATCTCATCTTATTTCTCCCCGTGCTGTTTTGTTATTTTGTTTAGATTGGAATATTTATTAATTAAACAGAGCTTGATATTCTTAACTTGTTAATTGGATTTGTCAGCTTGGCATCCTTTCAGAGAGTCCACATAGCTTATATTGTTTATTTTGTATATTGATTTGACACCTCGACATGTCTTTAGAGTGTCTACATACCTATGAATTCTGTAATAGTCAAATCTAACCATGATATTTTGAATTCCCCTCCCATATGAATGTCTGCCATTTTGAAATATTGTGAATGATTTTGTTTTAGTTGGTGTTTGAAGAGTGAAACTGTCTGGCTCACTGTTGCTATGGAAACAAAATTGTACAAATGCATAAGATTGTAAATTGGGCAGGCCAATGGAGCTGTCCTGATAAAATTTCCCTCATTTCACACTGTATGGTGTTACTGTCTTCATAAGCTAAGAAAATTCTTCTGATTGCATACTGCAATACCTGTTTTTAGTAGTTCATTTGCCTAAGGAGGTGCAGAACATGGATTTCCATTGACATGAGAAATTTTGTCCTTGCAAAATTTCCCTAATTGCACACTGCATGGTGTTTTGTTTTTATTTGTGTTGTGTCTTAGGAAAATTCCCTTCATCACACACTGCAAGGTGTTAGTTGTTCCTAAACCTTATGACATGCAGAATATGGATTACCTTCGACATAGGGCAAGAGATTTTGTCTTGGCACGATTTCTCTCATTGCACACGGTGTTAGTTAGACCAATCAAGTGTGAGGATATGAATTCATTTCTATCAATTCCCAAGGGATTTTATTTGATCAAAGTTTATTGTAAAATGACCAAGAAGATCTATATTAAATTGTATTATAATTATAATATTTGTACAAACATCATATATAAACTTATAAATAATATAATGATCCTATTTTTTTGCTCAGTGTACAATAAAAGCCTACAGCCTCAACAATTTTGTTTTCTTTCAACATTTTATCCCCAATATTCCAGTCAAACCAGCTCAGAGCTTTTGTGATAGTAATGTCATTAAAGACTTGCAAAACCATAGACGTCTGATTGAAGATTTAAATGGTGCAAAAAAATATTATCATTGTCCGGAATACACGTATTAAAATGGTTAGAAAACCATTGTAAAAGGATACCGTACCGTACCGATAATCCTGAAAGGTCATAACCAAGAGTTTTGGCCAAGGACCAGCTTGTAGTATCCTTGAGAACCAAACCAAAGTTATTCTTGTAAACTAGGTAATAGGGGGTGAAAGCAGAAACTGAGCTGACTCTCGCAAGCACAGCTATCACAATTTTTTTTACCATGAGGAGGATTTGAATCCACGGCACCTAATCGCCTAGCAGACGACAGTCCAACTTGCTACCGACTGAGCTATTCCACTGCCACAAAATGACAGCTTCCAACCCAGGCTAGCTTTGGTAAGCCTCCCTTCCCTCTCCCTGTCTTAAATTTTTAAATGTCACTATAAATGATATGGTCATTTTTGGATATAGACCATTCCAGCCCTTTTCTAACCAGATGTTTGTTTTATTCTTTGTTTGTGTTTAAATGCAGCTAAACCAATGTTAACGAATTAACGGTACATATCCAAAACTAATCCGTTGTATTATACATTCGATTATCCAGCTTAAAAACATAAAGTACATTTATCATGCGTGACAATCATGACTACGGCGAGATCACTCGAGATTTGGTCGTCAAGGTAAACTATGACAATGGCGTCGATGACAACCAGTTGAAGTCGGTAAAAATGTCTTCAATTTTCTGCTAAATACCGTTAAAACAACAAGCCAAAATAATTCAACTTACAGCAGAAGGGAACATAACAAGTGAGTTTTTGTTCTTGGCCTAAATTTCATTTGATAAAGTGACCTGGTTTAAAAGACAACCAGGAATCTACTAACCTCTGCTCGCTTGTTCTATTTTTTTACGGATTGACACCTGCTGATTCAAGTTATGGTTGAAGACTAGACATAGAATATTTATGAAAATTGACACTATCAAACCATTATGTCTGACCATAATATTAACAGAATTGCATTTCGATAGAATTTTTTGTTTGAATTGAATTAGAGCCAGGCTTATCGAACTTCTCCAAAAATACTCACAACTCACTAGCCTATCAATATCAATCACAATGCGATTGGTTAATTGAAAATATTGCTAAGACAGTAAGATTATGACAAAATCTTACTGAAACAAAATTTATTACCATAAACAAGATCCAACCTTTAGCAATAAAAGTTTTGGGTTTTAATTTCAGTAAATAAAAATGCCGCCAAAGAAAGGAAAAGGAAAGAAGGCCACAAAGGCATCGATTGGGGATGAAGAGGAAACACCCAAAGGATCTAAAAGTAACACGCCAGTTCCAGAACCAGTTCCAGAACCAGAAACAGTGGAACCAGGTAGGTTTATAACAGGGACTTTATTTACTAAAACTTTCAGAGTCTAGAGCTGATTGTATGGCTCTATTTGCCAGTCAAGTCTGATGGAAACTCAAAACTGACATCTTGATTAGGATAGAAAACATTATTCTGTTTTCTTTGGCCTTGCAATATTGTCTTAATTTCTGTCTAACATTAACTATTTTATGCTTAAATTTCTCCCAAAAATATGACTGTCTTTGTTTACATAATTAAAAAAAAAAATTATTTAATGTAGGCTTATCTTGGTATGGAAACATAGCTATATTTTTATTTTAAAATTACTTATTTATGGATTTATTTGTAGAAAATGAAACGAAAGAAGAAATTATTGAAGAACCAGAACCTGAAGTTCCAGAGGAACCAAAAGTCACAGTTGTAAGTTTTATTTCGTTTTCTTACTATTTTGATAATGAATGTGTGCTACAGAAGAGAAGATACTGTCTTATTGACCCACTGGCCTAGTCACAAATGATATTTGCGTTTGGTTTCTTTTTGTGACAGAAAAACTGCTAGTAGCCTTCTGGTATCCAAACTTTTTCACTGACTTAAATGATATTTGTTTTCAGAAAAAGTTAATAGAAGACAGAATAACAGTGGTTGGTCTAAAATCCGAAATGTGGACCGATAAACACCATGAATCAATATTACGTTTTATAGACAATCCAGACAATATGTTCATGGTGGCGTACAACGATCAATTCCGCGGTTTCTGTATCGAAAATAATCTCCCAGCATTTAACGTGGAACAGATCTCATATTTTATCAAATCAAAGCGTATTAAGGAGAAATTGGACCATGATAATTTTTTCAATGTGGTTCAATATGGAACAGTTAAAGGCATGCATATTGAAAGTTTGTTACGAGTCATGATGGGAATTTACGCGCCTATTTTCTTCGACAATACATCATGGCCTGATAGTATCCTTTTTATAGAGTTTAATATGAGAATCAATTAAGCTCTAATGAACTTGAAATATTTTAATCCTCAAATTTTTTGTCTGAAATGACTGGTACTATCTACATCCTCCCAAAGCCTGTCTATTTCTTTTCAATCTTTTGAAGACTATTTTTTGTCTATGGACACAGTAAAAACATTTTGCCACTCTTACTTTCCTTAACCAATGTTCAGGTATTAAAAATGATTTCTCAGCTCAGCTTCACAAGTTTCTAGCTAGTTTAACTGATACAAGATGGAAACTAGAGAGTAAAACAGTATTATATATCCCTACAGAGGGAATGAAATTACCAGTTGAATCAGCTGCCAAAAACAAAGAACTGGTACAAAGACTAGAAAGTAAGTAAAAGATCCCTAAAAAGGAATTGTAAAGAGGTTTTCTGAAAAAATTTATGTGCTATTGCGACACTGATAGCATCAATTTTCACCATTCCAATTTTCAATCAGACGTCAGTGGTTCCTGCAATTCCACTAAAACTTAAGGTTTTTATGATGTTACAATGGTACTAGTAACTATTGTAATTAAGATTTTTCATTCTATTTTAGCCGCCATGATCCATTGGGCTCGTCAAATTAAAGAAGTGTTAAACAGTCAAGATGCCTTTGAAATGTCTGAAAATTCCGGTCCGTTAGAGGAGATAGAATTTTGGAAAAACCGATGTACAGACTTGTCTGGAATCAGCAACCAACTCGACAAACCGGGAATCAAAAGAATCACAGAAATTCTGCAACTGGCAAAATCTTCATATGTTCCACCATTTTTAAAATTATCTAGTCAAATTAAGGTAAGGATTTTTATGCTTTTTGTAATTTTGGTGGCCAATTCGAACATGTCTGGCTGATGAAACAAGTCTGTTGTTTTAAAGAAAAAAGTGCGGGTACGTAGGGTGTGAAACTTTATGAAAATGTGTTTTTCTCTATTTCAGGAAGGTTCACATCAAGCAGAGAGTAACCTGAAGTTTTTAATGGTATTAAAAGACCCTTGCCATGAATTATCCGATTCCAAACCTAAAGATATTCCTGCAATGATTCCAAAGATACTGAACCTAATTCGAATGATCTGGGTCAACTCTGAATTCTATAAAACTAGAGAACGGCTTACAGGAATCTTGAAAAAGGTATGTCTGTCTATAGCCAAGTTATCCAATAATGTGGCTTCCTATGCACCATTTGAACCATTAGGCCAAGTTGTGGCCACAGAATTATCAATGGAGAATCACAGCACCAGGCTTTTAAAAACTCAAAGATATGGGGGGCTAAACCACGGCTAACCTCATTTTCATTCATACGAACATGGCTCTTGCAATTTCACTAAAACTGAGAGTAATATGGATTCACTTTTGCTTGTGAACCTATTGTTATTACCAGTTTGAGAGTGGTTTAATGACAGACTAATTCATCCACCGCAATTATTTGCTGACCACTTCCTGTTACATCATGGACTGCCATTATCAGAATTTGAATTTGTGTTTTATAATTTTTATGTATTTTTCATCCTCAGATGAGTAATGAGATTATTAGGCGTTGTTGTAAAGAAATCAACCTAGAGGCTATATTTGAAGGTTACGTTACGACTGGTAAACAGAGTCTACTGGAATGTATCGAATGTTGTCAACAATGGAAAGAAATTTATGACAAGGTCAGTAGGTCTTAAAATCAAAAATCTAAAGCTATCTGGACTGTGGGATATCTCTGTCAGGACTGTGGGATATCTCTGTGGGGACTGAATTTTGACCTCAAAACATTGTCAATCATAAGAATCCATTTGAATCTACCCATAAACATTCTTATAGTGCAGAAATAACAATTTAAAATTAAAATTTATAGAAAACGGCAAATTTAATACACCTTGACGAATTAAATTCTTAGATTAAGATTCCCCTCAAAGAGCCCCTCATAAAAAGTTCAGTTTATTTTAGTTTTTGGTGTAAATATTAAGCTATAATCAAACAAAGATGTCTGAATTTTGTCTATTTTCAGACGTCCAAGCTGCATCACAAGTTCTCATCAACAGGTTGGGTTTTAGATAAGAGCAGTGTCTTCGCTCAAGTTGACGCTTTTATACAGAGATGTCGAGATTTACTAGAGGTAACATTTAGTAATTTATTTTCAAGACTATTGCATCTCTGGCAAAATTTCCACCATTGCAATGTACACTGCAATGATTTTGATCACTAAGCCAATAAGTTGCAGAGTTAGATTCTATTCAGTCTACGAACCTATCTCGTATCCAATTTTAAAAAAGTTCATCTCCATTTTAGGTATGTGATGCACAGATACATTTTGCCAGGCGTGAAGATGGTAACAAGACAGAGATGCCACACTTCGCTGGACAGAAAGGACCAGAGATAGCTCGTGGTATTCTGGATATTGAAACACAGTTTGAGAAGAACTTGTTAATATTACGCTCCGTGAAGAAAACTATTCTAGATGTCAAGGCCACATCCTGGCACGATGACTATAACAGGTCAGTGATCTTTAATAACAAGATTTGATTGGAAAAATGGATACCCTGTGTGCATTAAAGGCTTCACACATTGAAAATCTTTTGATAGGTGCAAATCCAAAAACAATAGGCTTAGGTCACTGTCCGAGCATTGTGTTGCCCTTCTTCATTAGCCCAATAAGGGTGCAAAAAAGTAGCACACCATTTCATTTTGTGTCATGTAAACCTACCTCCAAGACAGAAGAATTCCAATCAGACAATTTCTGCTCCTGGTTTCATCTGGTTCGATCTTTTGTTAATTTAGTGTATCTGTAAATTGTAGATTCCGAGCTGGTATAAAAGATTTAGAAGTGATGATGCAGAATGTAATATCTTCAGCGTTTGATACAGTGACTACTGTCGAGTCTGGGGTAGAACTATTAGATATCTTCATGCATCTTAAATCTAGAGAGGTAGGCTTTCTTTTTCAAATTCCATTCAGGCCAGACTCGAACTTGGCATTGGTCGAGATGATACCTGCACATTTTTCCTTGCAGTTTCCCCACACAGTGATGCAGGTTGGAGGGCCTCTCATGGAAAAAATGTCTAGTTGTTAAAATGGTACAATAAACCAAGGCCCCATGTGCTACAGAGTGTGCACGTTAAAGATCCTTCCATCGGAAATTGAAAAGAGAGTATACTTATGCCACTATTCTAAAACAGTGTTCCTCATTGCTCACTGCATGGCATTTCCTGTCTTCATTAGCCAAATCAGATGCAGAGATTAGGACATAACTCCATTTTATTTGTTTACAGGCAATCAGAAGAACTATAGACAAGAAGACAGTAGATGTATTTAGTATGTTTAATGATGAACTTAATGCTGTCAAGAAAGAACTCACCCAGAAAGCTGTTTCTCTATCCCCCTCTCATCCTAAATTCTCAGGGGCTGCCCATTGGGCTAAGATGTTGAAGAAGCGAATTGAACGAAGCATGATGGTAAGGGAATTGTTTTTAGGGGCCTTTTTCTCAAATTTTTCATACAAACTTTTAAAAAGATTTGGGTACTTGAAAGCGAATTTATTATTGTTTCCTATAGAAACACAACTAGCACTATAGTCTATATATAGTACAAATTATGAGTTGATTTTGACGCAGTTTGTATTTACGTCTGTATGGGTTATAATTTGTCAGCCATTTTGTTTTTGTCTGTTGTAGGTGTTGGATCGAGCTCACTTCCTGCCGTCAATAGGATCAGGTGAAGAAGTAAGAAATCAGTATCAAACTCTGTGTGTAGCACTAGACGAATACGTTCGTAAAACATTCTATGAATGGACAACCACAGTTGATAAGGTAGGCTACTTTCACTTTACAAATTTTACTACTTTTTCTTTTCCAATAAGCTTATCTTTTGTCTAAGACTTTGACGTGTTTTTTAACGCGAACACTGGTCTGAATCTTGTGGATCATTTCTAAATAATGTGTAAGTTAGCAATATTATCAGGGATAAGGCAAATCCAACACGAAGAAGGCTTCACAACCATCGTCTGTTAACTTTTTATGATTTTTTGTCTTTTATTTCATTAACAATAGGAGCAGGTACTTCTTTGTTTGTCTTTGTTTGTTATTTTTGCAATTTTGTTTCATTGTTTTGATATTTTTTAATTTTAGGGCATTTCATTTTTTGATTTGTTGAATTTTACTTTGATGTTTGTTTGTGTATGTTTGTGTTTCAAGTTAGAATAATGATGAATGGATCAGAAATTACGAAACTTTGATTTAATATTAATTTCATCTAGACAAGTGTGTCTGATATACAATCCTCATCAGGACGGCTAGTTTCCTACATGAAGAGTAATCTTCTCATTTAGTGTATGGCTGGGTAAGGGAACTCACTGAACAGGAGCCAGCTATTGACAAGAATATTCTCCTTAATATACTGTCTCACATGCTTAAAAATAAACTTGAATTTTCAAACAATGGGAGGAGTTCAAATTTGAGAAAATTTCACACCTTTTTTTTATTAATTTACTCAGGAGCCACAGAAACAATTAGAAGCTGCCTTGATGTGTAGAAGTGTTGAAAGACCTCCAATGTTGGACATCAAATTTAACAGGTAACTCAATATTAGACTGTTCTTTCAGTTTTCAAATGTTTGTCTTGAGGTCGGTGGGGCTGACATGGAAAAGCATCAAGTCTTTTGTTTGGGATAATAAACCAAGGGTCCAAGTCCCCGTGTGCAGTAGGCTGTGCATGATAAAGATCCCTTGAAAAAAAGATCCTCTATTGCTCTTTTGCACTCTGCATTTAACCACCAATCTTCATTAAGCAAAACTGGAAGAAATTTGCCTCAGTGCACACTGTAATGTAAACCGAGGGTGTAAAACTCTCTATTTCACTTTTTCTTTTTCTCAATTTCAGACAATTATTGAAGATGTTCCAAGAGATTCACTATTGGGAAAGATTGATGTTTGAGATACCCCATTACGCAGCTACAGTTTATTCTAAACGAGAAGATTTACGTGGTCTAAGGGAACATGTCCTACTGGTGGTTAGAGACTACAATAGGTAAGGGGGATAACTCATGTTACTGACTTAAGGGCACTTTCCTTTCGAAAGTCTTTCACATAATCAAAGTAGCTAAAAACTAGAGCTTTGGTTTAATTGTGAGTGTGTTATGAAATATGTTTCACTGGCTGTCAGAGCCTACATTTTGGAAGGGGTATAACTCTTAGAACCTGAAATAAGAAAATATATATCCTTTGGCATCATTCACATACAAAAAGAAATGGCAGACTTAATTTAGTTATAATGGTAATTGGATTGTGAAAATGTTATTTTTATGAAATGTGAATCTTTATTCATTCATCCATTCTTTAAATTATTCATTTCTTCCCTTTAGCCCTATTCAGTTATTCATCTATTCATTCATTTATTCATTCATTCATTCAAAAATCTTCTCTCATTCCAGGATTATCGCAGCGTTATCTGAAGAAGAACGAGGATTATTCCGTGAGAGGATAAAATTCCTGGATAAGAAGATCCAACCAGGTTTAAACAAATTAACGTGGGCGTATAAAGGAAGCTCGGAATTCTTCGTGAACGAGTGTCGTCTGCAAGCGAGTAAAATTCAAGCCATCGTGGATGATTATAAGGGTGCTAATATGACAATTAACGACCATTGTTGTAAAATTAGTGATATGCTCCTCGTTAAAATTGACAGTAAAAAAGTGTATGAAAATCTCGAGTTTGATGAAGATCAGGTAAGAGTTATTTCCCTTAGATATCAAAATACCTCCTTTTAATCTTCATATTTTTTTTGTTTTGTCTTCTTCAATTTTGTTATGTTAGATTCACAAGTTTTGCATTTTGTTGGAAGTCTTATTTTATTTTCTAAAAACTCAAATTATCCTTAGTCTTGATATTGTCTGTAGTCTTCAGAGTTTAAATTTATCTCAAATTATCTCCCTTTAGTCTTCAGAGTTTAAATTTATCTCAAATATCTCCCTTTAGTCTTCAGAGTTTCAATTTATCTCAAATTATCTCCCTTTAGTCTTCAGAGTACAAAGATTATCTCCCTTTAGTCTTCAGAGATTTAAAGATATCTTCAAATTATCCCCCTTTAGTCCTAAAACTGTTGAAGATATCAAATATATATATTATAATTCTAGGCTCGACATCGTGAATTAGTAAAGAAGAGATTAAAGATGACACATGAAGAAATAGTTCTCAGTATGAGACAAACTTATGAAGTATTTAAAAACGATTCAGCAGAGGTAGGTTTTACAGGGTTGTTTTGGTTTTGAAAGATTTATTTTTATCAGCTCTGAGTCGTATTGAAAAGTTGAGTAAGCTTAATTCATCAATTTCATTTTACCTGCAAGTTGATTGTATTTTAAAAAATTATAACCATTCATTCATTCACTCATTCATTCATTCATAAATTCATTCATTCATTCATTCACTCATAGTTTCATTCATTCATTCATTCATTCATTCATTTATTTTATTCATTCATTCATTAATCATTCATTCATTCATTAACAGGTTCAACAAAATTGGTATAGATACACCAAGAAGATGGATAAGATGGTGGAAGCAGCATTTAGATTAAATGTGAAATCATCTCTACAAGAATTGTCTAAAGCTATCAATGGTGATGGCAAGTCAGCACCCAATCCACTGTTTAAAGTTCAGGTGGTGTTGGAAGGTGACAAGGTAAGGTTTGAATTAGATTTCATTTCATTTGTCGGCAAAAAGTCAATACCAAGTGGTTTTGCTGGGAACTAGCTGGTAGAAAGGATCCTCCAGAATGTTATCCTTGTATGACCATTAGAGAGGTATTGCTAAGAGCTTTGACCTAAGACCAGCTTGTAAAGAAGGATCCTTGAGAACCTAAGTTGTTATTCTTTTAACTGTCCAAAGAGAGCTTTGACCAAAACAAAAATTGAGCAGTAATAAATCAGCTTGTTAAGTGTAATTAATGGTGTTTCTTTCATTATCCAGGTTGAATTTTCACCAACGTTAAGACAACTAGCAGTAATAGTAGGTAGTATAGCCAATCATCTTAAAGATGCTATAGCTGGTATAGAACGTCTACCAGATATACTCACTAGAGGCAAGAAAAAATCAGCAGTAAGTTGCCACTTTAAATCTGACTTATAATAGTCACTGTCCTCTCATATAAACCAGTAACTCGAATTTTAAAGATTTGTTTCAAAATATTGCTTAAGTCAATCAAAGTCTGATTCCCACTGGAAATAGTTTAAAAACAGAATGACCATCTAGACTATTATAGGGGAAGCAACTCTTACAATCTTAACTGAATACAAACTACTATTATTTTATACATATATTTTTGAAGAAAAGGCTCTTACATGGGAGTTAACTCTAACAGCATTATTTAAATCCAGACCACTAGTGTTTTGTTCTTGCTTGAATTGTAGGCGTATATATGGGAGTTAATTCTTATATTCTTCTCTAAAATCCAGACCACTATTGATATGAATTTTTCCTGATATCACCTGTACAATTAACATTGAAATTTTAATTTTCCAGGAGCCTATGGGACGAACGCGACCAATCGCTGAAGAGATAGCCAGTGAAAACGACATCAAAAAGATTCAAACAGTAATAAATAAGGGCATGCAGGATAACGCTGAAAATCTACGCAAATATCTCGGCCAATGGGATGAGTTCCGAGAGATTTGGGAAGTTCAAAAAGACGCTTTTATCAGACGATACCAAAAGTTCAAACCGTCTGTGGCTTCTTTTGATGCTGATATTCAAAGGTGAGAAAGTTTGTTGTAGAGAGTTCACATAGATAAAAATGTTTGGTTGGTATTTAGGTATGTCAAGTCCACAAACCTCAGAGAGTCCACATAGTTTATATTATTTATTTATTATATTGTTTATTTGGTACATATAGGGATTTGTCAAATAAGTATCCCTTTCAGGGCATCCACATAGCTATTTAATTTGCATTCTCAACATCTGTTTTGGAGAGCCCACATAACTAATATTGTGTTTTGGGTTATATGAATACGATGTCATGTTCATTTTAATCTTTTTACCGCCTGACAGATATACAGAAGTAGCCAATAATGTCCAGACTCAAGAAACCATCTTGAATATCCAGTTTGTGCTGTTGGATTGTTCCCCCTTGAAGTACGCCATACAGACACATTGTCAACAATGGCAGAACAAGTTCACTACCCTACTCAGTGAAATTTCTATCTCTAAATTAAAAGAGCTCAATGATTTCTTGAAAGACAATGCAGAGAAGTAAGTATACTGTTGTTTTCTGTAAATTTTGGAGTGAAGGCACCTTTTCCCTCTTGTCAGTGTTGAAGGTTTAAGGGGCTGATATGGAAAAAGCGTCTAGTTGTTTGAGTGGCTCTATAAATCAAGCCCTATAGACTACAGGCTGTACACATGATCCCTCCAAAGAATAAAAGGCGTAAAAATTCTTCTCTTATGGCATTGCTCTTATTTATGGACTTAAAAGCTGAAAAGTAGAACATAAAACTGCCTCAAACTCTGTGTGATCTGGGAAAGATTCCATAATAAATGCATTCATTCATTCTTTCCTTTCTATTCAGAGTGAGTAAACCACCTCAGACCCTAGATGAACTGGGAGAAAGTCTGGCTCTATGGGATAAACTCAATGAAGACTTGAAGAAAACAGAAGAGAAGTTCCAGCCTCTCCAAGACCAGTTCGGAATCTTGGACAAATACGAAGTACCAATTCCTGAAGAGGTAGGTCTGACTTTTGGCAGCATGTTTCTGCATGTTAATCTTCATTTAAGATAAAAGAAAGAGCTATAATTTAGTTACATCTTAGGTTCTCAAGGATCCTGTTATGTTAAAAGCGAAATGTTTGATATTTGATTCCTTGAATTTTAGGTGACAGGCATGTTGAATGATTTACCAGAAGAATGGAATGCTTTCCAACAAACTCTCATTGATTCTGAAGTTATGCTCAAGAAACACAAAGTATGTATTTAGTGATGTTTTTGTCTATAATTTTTGTCGTAAAGTAACATTGTGGTCTGAAGATATCAAGTTTGTATTAAGAGTCACTTCCCTTGGGAGAGTAGATGAGATAGCCTGAATATCAATGGTGCTCTGTTCAAGATAGCTTTGAAATATTAAATTTATTTACCAGTGCCACATTTGATATCGTGTTTTGAAGAATTTGATATTCTGTTTTCCAGTTCAAAATTGTAAATATTTGAAGGTATGAGGGATCATGATTATGATTTGGAGAAAATGGTTGCTAATTAATATCATTTATTTTCAGGAAAAATTCAAGAGCAGCTTGCTTGCTCAATCAGATGACTTCAAGAAACAAGTCAGTGGTCTTTTGGCAGAGTTCCAGAGTAAGGGACCATTCTTGAGCACCATTCCAACAACAGAGGCTCTGGAAACTGTGGCAACCATTCGTGAACAGATGAATCAGCTAAAACAACAAGAGGCTCAGCTTCGTCGTGGATTGGCCATCTTCAAAATTGATCAGCCAGCATCGAAAGAAATTGCATCCTTAGAGAAAGTAAGTTGATCTTGAAGGGGAGTTTAATTTTTAACTTTATTCATCCGATGATAATCAAGCCTTGATACAGTGTGCCAGTCATCTATTTGACACCCCTCAACTTCTATTGAACTCTTCCAAACATGCATACTTCTATCAATATGATACTGTATTTGTATGATTGGAAGAGCTCATCTCTAAACTCAGTGGTGAATTTTAATATTAATTCAATTAATTCTGTTTACTTGCAGGAATTAGAGCAGATAGAAACTGTATGGGAGTTGACTAAAGAATGGGAAGGTTTGTGGTCCGGTTGGAAGGTCGGACAGTTCCTGGATCTCGAGACAGCTGATATGGAAACCCACTCTCAATCCTTGTATAAAAAACTTAACAAATTCAACAAGGAACTTAAGGTTTGTGGACTTCAGTATTGCCTTTGAATCGATCTGACTGAAATCATTTTACCCCATTGAACACTTCCAACTGATCATTCTGTGATACAGGTACTGTACATTAATGATTCTTCTGGAAATTAAAAACTTGAAGGGTAAGGTGGCGCTGTCTTGGCAAAATTTCCCTCATTGCACACTGTATAGTTTTGCCTGTCCTCATTTGTCTAATAATGTACAGAACAGTAGGATGTAAAACGCCACTTTCTTGGCTTGCAAGAGACCACAACAGTAGGATATAAAACCCCTTTTTATCCACCCTATAAAGAACAGTAGGATGTAAAACTCCATTTCATTTCATTATATATATATTTTTGTGTGTACAGGATAAGAATTGGGAGATTGTTGAAACCAGTAAAAATAAAGTTGATCAGTTTAAACGAACCATGCCATTGATACAAGATCTGAAAAATAAAGCCATGAGACCTCGACATTGGAGCAAGATACAGGTTTGTGCCCTTTTCACTGCTTGGGAGCTTCGGAGCTTTTGATAGCTTAGCTAAGCAGAAGCATAAGCGCTCTTCTATGGTATAGCCAAGCAAAAGGATGTCTATCTCAGCATTCTATTTTATTTGTAGGTTGAATAAATAACAATGGAAACTTTATATAAGCAAACCTTATTGAGTGTTGATTACTACTTATATTACCTTAAAGTGGTCCTAAATGTGCTGGTTGGGTACCAAAAAACTCAAAGGATGGTGGAACATGCATAAACATTGCTGGGTCGAAGTCTTCTTACTCTTGGATTATTTGCAAGTCCCAGAATTGATTATTGTAGTGCATGAACTATTTTATTTATTTTTTTCACAGACTGAAATGGGAAGAGCTTTTGATTATAAAGCTGAAGATTTCACCCTGGAGAAGATTATAGAATATGGTTTTGATCAGTTTGCTGAGCAGATCAACGAAATCTCTGGTGCTGCCACCAAGGAATTGACGATTGAACAAGGTCTTGAGAACATCAAGCAAACATGGAACCTCACAGAGCTGGATATCGCTCCTTATAAAGATAAGGGTCACTTTAAACTCAAGTGAGTGGGTGCTTCTATTTTTATATTGACTTGGTTCTACTGAAGCTGCAGGTTGTTCATTTGGAATGTCTGACTTGATCAGCGTGCCAGGCTCTTTCAAAAGTCCAAAATTCTTCCAGATATTTAAGTTTGTCTGGTGTAGTAGGCAGGGCTAGGCCTTTAAGGAAGAGAAGATTCTATTTTTTTCCATGTGTAAAGGGGGTGGCTAGGGTAAAATAGAAATATATATTTGAATTTAAATTTTCAATAAAATTGAACAAAGCTTTTTTCCATTTACAGGTCCACAGATGATGTGTTCTTAGCTCTAGAAGACAACCAAGTTCAGCTGTCCACTATGAAGGCATCCAGATTTGTCAAAGCTTTTGAACAGGACGTCGACTACTGGGAGAGAACATTGTCACTGATTCTAGAAGTGGTGGAAATGTTACTGACTGTACAGAGACAGTGGATGTATTTAGAGGTAGGTGAACGGGCAATAAGAGTGGGGGTTGGGCGGAAATGACCTGGTTCTGGGAGGGGAGCAGGGTAGCCTAGGGACTGAAGCCAAATCCCGAAATGCAGTCATACGAAGCAGACATCATTGTAACTCTTTCATAAGTAATCTCTCAAAGGGAAACAACTCTAGCTATACACATTATTTCAGACCACAGTAGTACAGGTTTTTTTCCAGAGTAGGCTCATTAAAGGGAGAAAACTCCAGCTATATACATTTCTTCAGACCACAATATGACGATCATTTATTTCAGAATATATTTTTGGGAGAAGATATCAGGAAACAGTTACCTGGAGAATCGAAAGCTTTCGATGATGTGAATAAGAACTGGAAGGAAATTATGACCAGACTTGATAAAGATAGAAACGCTTTACGAGGGACGCATCATAAAGGTATAGCTCCCTTTGTCAAATTTCGGGGCCACAGGTCTTTACTCAAGATAATGTTCCATTCATCTGATTGGTCTATCTGATCAGTGATACAGGTCAAAAGACTGACATGTAAATAGTGTGTAGCCGTGTGTAGTGTGGATCGGACAATAAACATAGGCCCCAAAGCTACAGGCTGTGCATGTTATAAATCGAAAAAAAAGTAGACTATTGCTGATGGCCTGACAAAATTTCCCTCATTGAGCACTGCATGGCATAACCTGTGATCATTAGCCCAATCAGGTGAAATTTTATTTTGTTTTTTCTCACAGGAATGTTAGAACAATTAAACGACATGAACGTAAAATTGGAAGAAATCCAGAAATCACTAGACATGTACTTGGAAACGAAGCGACAGATCTTTCCCAGGTTTTATTTCTTATCCAACGATGATCTCCTGGAAATTCTCGGCCAGTCTAAAAATCCTGAGGCAGTTCAGCCACATCTTAAAAAATGTTTTGATAACATTAAATCTCTGAAAATGGGGAAGGTAAGTCATTGGAAGTATTCATTTGCTCACTAACGTGTATTAATTGTTGCTTTATTTGGAAACACAAGTTCTAACATAGTTCACTGAATGGAAAAAGAGTAAACTTATGCCTCTGACCAGGCAAAATTTCCTTATTGCATCCTAAAGGAGCAAAAGAGTAGGTTGTACAACTCTTTTCACTAATGAAAATAAATAAGTTGATATTTTCATTCTAATTTAAGTCACTTCATCATTATCAAACCCTGAAAATATCACCATAGTTGAAAAAAGTTGGATGTCAAAGTCTATTTTGTTTCATTAGTCCAAAAAGGTAACAAAAGTTTCGGATGTATGTCTCCATTTTATTTCATTTATCCTTAATAACAAGACCAAGAACAAAACTTAAGATTAATAATTGTATTCTTTAGGCTCAGGGTATTGCCCATAAATGGGAGGCTGCTGGTATGTCTTCTAGTGATGGTGAATACGTAGAGTTTACTCAGACTGCTGTAATAGAGGGACCGGTCGAGGTAGGTTTACATTTCTTCTTTACAATTAGAGGCCATCTGTGATGTCAACCACTGGATAGTTGAAAAATAGAGTAGACTGTAGACTTATGTGAGAGTCCTGACAAAAATATCACTCATTGCACACTTCACAGTGTTACCTGTCTAAATTAGCTCGATATGGTACAATAAAGTAGGACATTAAACTCCAATTCATTCATTTATTCATTTGGATTGTCAGTGAAACCAAAGAACCAGAAAACTTACAGTAATAATAGGTCTTCAAAATTTGACGAAACCTTTTTTCTTTTCTGCAGGCCTGGCTGTATGATGTTGAAAGAATCATGAGGTTCACACTCAAGGAAGTTTTAAAAGCTAGTCGTACATCTCTGAAGAAGAACCTAACTAAACGGGACAAATGGATTCGTGATTTTCCTGGTCAGATCTGTATCACGGCCAGTCAGATTCAGTGGACACAAGATGTCTCCAAGGCTTTGACCACCACCAAGGAACGAGGTGACAAGAAGGCTTTGAAAAGCATGAAGAAAAAACAGGTAATTTCCTTTGAAATCTTGCATCACCCCAATTACTTAACTTGCCACTCGTATGTACAGATTGTTCTTGTAGAGTCTGCTTGCTAACCTAGAGGGCTGGGGTTCCCTCCAGACGCACCTCTGGATTTTTTATTGTGCTTTCCCACCGTCTGTGATTCAAGTTAGTGGCCACACGCTGTGCATGATTAAAATCCCTTGACAGTTGGAATCAAAAAAGAGTAAGATAATGCTGCTTTTTAGACAAAATTTCCCTCATGTCACACTGCATGGTGTTGCTCATCTTCCTTGGTCAAGCTGCAACAGAACCATAACAATTAAAACTTCTTATTATTTCGTTTCTAGGTGGCCATGTTAAACAAATTCTCAGAAGCAATTCGATCAAACTTGACTAAGATCCAACGTTTGAAAATCGTTGCCTTGGTAACCATTGAAGTCCACGCTCGTGATATCATCGAGAAACTGATTAAGACTGGATGTTCAGATACGACTGCTTTTGATTGGTTGAGTCAGCTTCGAACCTACTGGGATAAGGTAAGCATGGAAATACAACAAGTTGGTTTAATTTTGTTTAGGGATCTAAAGGATGGGTCAGAACCAAGCGCAGTATAATATATAAGTCTTTTTCATTCCATATAGTACAGAATAATTTCATTTAACCAGTTCATCTTCACATTTAGATTCCTAATTCTTGGCCCAATTAGTTGCAGAACAGAAGAATGTAAAACTCCATTTCGCTCATTTTCAGGAAATTGAAGATTGCGTCATCAAACAGACCAACACCCAGTTCTCGTACGGCTATGAATATCTCGGTAACTCTGGTCGTCTGGTCATTACGCCATTGACAGATCGGTGCTATATGACCTTAACAACTGCCCTTCATCTTCATCGAGGTGGTAGTCCCAAGGGACCTGCTGGTACAGGTAAAACAGAAACCACCAAAGATTTAGGAAAGGCTCTGGGAATGTACGTTATTGTAGTGAATTGTTCGGAAGGTCTGGATTATAAATCGATGGGAAGAATGTTTTCTGGTCTAGCTCAGGTAAGTCTGAATTGAATTCCAATTTCGTTTCATTTTCAGTTTCTGATACATTTTATCTGCATTGTAATCTGACAAGTTTTCTACTAAAGTTCTGTTCTACTGATGTTATTATTAACCAATCAAAGCATGTCATTTAGAAGCTGTTTCTTCATAACATAACATAAAAAAAAGTTATGCGTACACTGCAAAATCATTCTATATAACTCCACAAAAACAATGTGTACTCTCCAAAAGTTTCACATCAACAGACTAATATATACAGATATTTGTTTATATTAATTTGATATAAAATATTGTGCACTCCACAAAACAATGTGTACTCTCCAAAAGACTGGTATCAAGTTGACAACAGATAAAAGATAAGACAGATAAAAGATAAGACATTGATTAAATTTCTATTTTAGACTGGAGCCTGGGGATGTTTTGATGAATTTAATCGTATCAATATTGAGGTATTGTCTGTGGTTGCTCAGCAGATTCTGTCTATCCTGAAAGCCCTGCATGAGAAATGGAAGAGATTCGTGTTTGAAGGACGAGATATCGAACTACAGTTTTCTTGTGGTATCTTTATCACCATGAATCCAGGTTAGTGCTTTCAGTCGAGTTGATTTTGAATTTAAATTAAAAAAGAACTGTTTCATGTTGGAATTTGATGTATTGAGTCCTTTTCCTTAACACAAATTTGGTTTTCAAGACATAACAAACTTTACTCTAGCTCTGAAATTGAAAGCAGTTGAGCAGATGCACAAGCCTCTGATCGGTTGCAAGTTTAATAGAATACTAAAAATGGCTCCATTCCTATTTCTCAGGCAAAATGTATACGTGTATTTTGCAGGATATGCTGGAAGAACAGAGCTACCTGACAATTTGAAATCTATGTTTAGACCAATAGCTATGGTTGTACCAGACTCAAATCTGATTGCTGAAATTATCCTTTTTGCTGAAGGTTTTGGTAATACCAAGGTAAGGACCATATCCAGTTTTTTATTATGTACATAGACATATCTGTCTAAATATTTTCTTTATCAGCTGATAGAGCTCAATTTGTGATATCTGAGATGTATAATTTCTAAATGTGCCTTTTTTATGTCAAAGAATTTTATTGCCATGAATTCTTCTCTTCATATTTCAGATGTTGGCCAAGAAAGTGTTCACCCTGTATTCTCTGGCCACACAGCAGCTGTCTCATCAAGATCATTATGATTTTGGTCTGCGTGCTCTGGTCTCTGTGTTACGTTACGCTGGTAGAAAGAAACGATCTAATCCCAATATGGCGGATGAAGAGGTGAGAGCTTTTTTATGTAATTAGTATTTTGTTGTAGTATTTCATCAAGAGATATATCAGAGTTATCTTCCTTGCCCTACTCAAAATATTAGTATTTTAATCAGAAAAAGATGTTCCAATCACAATATGGCACATGAGTTCAATCCCTTGTGTTAGCTCTCTGTCTCGTATGGAGGAAAAGTAAGACATTTCTTTTTTATTTATTTTTTTTTCTAGTTATTGTTACTGTCCATGAAAGATATGAACGTTGCTAAGTTGACGTCTGTTGATTTACCATTATTTAACGCCATCATGTCTGATCTCTTCCCTGGTGTCGAAACTCCTGTCATAGATTATTCCAAGGTAAGATTCTTAGATTGATTTTCAGGGTGCCACCCTGCTGATTGGCAGTCCAAAAGGAACATAGCTAATAATATTTATCAGTATTTGGGTTTTTTAATTCAGCATCCCTTTCAGAGAGTCCGCATAATTGAATTTCTTCTGTTTTAAGATGAAATCTGCAGTAGAGGAAGAATTAAAACTAGAGAAACTTCAAGTGAATAATCACACCATCACCAAGATCATCCAGTTGTACGAAACCAAAACATCTCGTCATTCTGTCATGATAGTTGGTGCCACACAGTCCGGTAAAACTGTAGCCTGGAAGACTCTGCAGAATGCCATGACCAATCTGAACAAGAAAGGAGAACCAGGGTTCCAACAAGTTAAGGTAGGGACTGCCTCAATATTTCAATACTCTAACAGATTGATCTACAGTCTGTCCTAAAAAATTGAAACATTAATGCTAATGACATGTATCACTAAATATTATGGTGTCTGCGTTTTGCCAACTTAAGTAACTTACCAACAGTAACTAAGAATTTTTACAGATTTCACAATGGTGAGAAAGAGTGTAAATATTTTCATAATTATACAGTACATTAGACTCCAGACCACAAAGAATGCGTTTCCAAAATAGTTAATCTATAAAATTCAAACTTAAAGATCTGTGACATCGTTTACTTTCTTTTACCAGGAGTATCCATTAAATCCCAAAGCTCTGTCACTAGGTGAACTGTATGGTGAATTTGATCTGAATACTAATGAATGGACTGATGGTATAATGTCTAGTGTTATGAGACAGACTTGTGCTGGTACGTACATCTCCATTTTCGCTCAGAAATAGCACATAATTTTTAGAAAATGGCATCCAAACCTGTTATTTTGTAGTAATGAATGCTTTCTCGAAAATACAATAAAATTGTTGAAGTTTTGCTAAGAAATGTTACTGAAATTTCTTTTGTATTCTATAATGTGCTCATAATTGACATTACTTTCTCTATACTGGCACTACAGCATACAGGCATAACAGCATGTTATTCTGAAATTTTGATCAGGAATGGTATTGATATGGGTAGCTTCGTTCATTGACCACACATTTTAGATTTCAAAAAGGTTTGTTTTTTCTGACAAATCATTAAGTCAAATATCCAGTTTTCTCCACCATATTGTCTTTATTTTTCCAATTTTTCTGCTACATAGATGAGAAACCAGAAGAGAAGTGGATTGTATTTGATGGTCCAGTTGACACGTTATGGATTGAAAGTATGAACTCTGTCATGGATGACAACAAAATTTTAACCCTAATCAATGGCGAGCGTATTTCGATGCCTGAACAGGTGTCACTGCTGTTCGAGGTCGAGGATCTTGCAGTCGCCTCCCCTGCCACTGTGTCTCGTTGTGGCATGGTGTATGCTGATTACAAGGACCTGGGCTGGCAGCCGTTCGTCGAATCTTGGCTTAGCAAAAAAACAGAAAAGGTAAATCAATTTTGTTTTGCTTTATGATCATTAGTTTCCTGGTAATTAGTTTCCCAATCATTAGTTTCCAGATCATTAGTTTCCCTATTATTAGTTTACCATTCATTAGTTTCCCGGTAATTAGTTTCCAGATCATTAGTTTCCCAATCATTAGTTTCACAGTAATTAGTTTCCTAATCATTAGTTTCTCTATCATTAGTTTTCTTATCATTAGTTTCCCTATCATTAGTTTCCCTAATCATTAGTTTCCCCGTCATTAGTTTCCCGGTAATTAGTTTCTCTATCATTAGTTTCCTAATCATTAGTTTCCCAAAGAGTGATACACTTCTGTTCTTTTTGAGGCTTACATTTCCAGGACGCTTGGATTTAAAGATGTAACACACTTAATGAAATTAGACCTTTATTCAGGCTCTCAACCTATCTCTCAAGGGAGATAACTCTTGATAAAGACATCAGACCACAATTACACAATATGTTACACCACAATATAACAAAAAACCCATTTCATTTCAAAAATTTTTTTGCAGGGAATGGTTGAGGAACTGAAAAGATTGTTTGATAAATATCTGGTGAAGATTATGGACTTTAGGAAGGCTAACTGTGAAGAAATTATCCCTCTCTCACAGTTAAATGGAGTTATGTCCCTTTGTAAATTGTTTGATTGTTTGGCTACGGTTGAAAATGGGGTACGTATCATCATCATTTTTATGGCGCAATTTATTCACCCAGGACCATCATTTCTGAAATTGAATTTGCTTGCCAATGTGGAAGGATATTACAAAATTTCCCTAATGATAATAATGACGATATTTTTAATACAAAGGGGTAAAAAATTTGGCAATATCTTACCAATGAGCATATGTTGCTTTTTACACCGCTAAGGGATCTCTTCATTTTCTGCCTTCATGATAGCTTTAAGGATGTGTCTTGATTTTGATTTTCAGGTTGACTCTCACGATTCTGAGAACTATATTCGAATGATCGAACTTTGGTTCCAATTCTGTATGATCTGGTCTATCTGCTGCTCCGTGGATGAGGACGGCCGAAAGAAAATTGATAATTATATTCGAGAAATGGAAGGAACCTTTCCTAATAAGGACACTATCTATGAATATTATGTCGATCCGAAGAATAAAACTTGGGTCCATTGGGAAGAGAAACTGAAAGGAGGTTGGAAATACAATCCAAGGTAGGGAGAATTTGATTGTGTTTGATTTATGAATTTGTACTTGAGAGATAGCATAGCTCAGCACCAATCCAGTTCTTTAGTGTTCAATCTTTGCATAGCTCAAAACAATGCCTTCAGACTTTTCAATCCGGTTAACACTTGTATAATTTAAAGGATCATTGAACAGTTGGAAATCAAAAGAAAGTTGTCCAGTGCTGCTATCCTGGCAAAATTTTCGCCATTGTACACATTTTTTGTGTTTTTGGTCTTCTTAATTTGTGTTACAATGTCTAGTATCTTTCATTTCTATTTCAGTTTACCCTTCTTCAAACTGGTAGTACCTACAGTTGATATGGTACGATACCAATACCTCACCTCCAATCTGGTCCTGGCACAGAATCCTGTCCTACTGGTTGGTCCTGTGGGTACTGGTAAAACATCAGTGGCAGAAAACACCCTCCATAAACTGGATTCTAAATCATTCAGTGTTTTGTCAGTTAATATGTCGGCACAGGTGAGATTTTTTTTGGAGAAATGAAATGGAGTTTGTTTCCTACTTCTCTACTCCTGTTTGGGTTAATGAGGACATGCTGTGTGCAATGAGGGAAATTTTGCCAGCATCACAAGCCTCTTTTTTTTAATTTCTAACTGTCAAGGGATCTTTAACATGCACAGCCTGTATCACAGGGGCATCGGTTTATTGTCCCATCTGAATGACTAAACTCTATTTCCTTGTCAGCCCCTCTCACCTGCATCACTGACAGGGGTTGAAACAGAACATTATTCGTCATAAGAAAACCGGTAATTTTTCAGACGACGTCCAACAATGTCCAAGACATCATAGAAAGTCGGGTTGAAAAAAGAACGAAAGGAGTCTACGTTCCAATTGGAGGTAAAAAACTCATCACCTTCATGGATGATTTCAACATGCCTGCTAAAGACACCTTCGGTTCCCAGCCTCCATTAGAGTTAATCCGTCTGTGGTTGGATTATGGATTTTGGTATGACAGACAGAAGCAGACGGTCAAATATATCAAGGTGGGTTTACCCTTTAATCATGTAAATAAAACGTCATATACCCTGAACTTTAACGTTACTGTTGCTCCAAAATCTTCCATACCCAGCTGAATTTGATTGTATTGTATGAGTGTACATCAGAGGGCTTTCAAATATCAGAAAAGAGTTATTGCCCTTGATTTGATCTGATTTTTTATGTAAACTGACAATAAATCGGAAAAAATACGTTATAAATTACAAATCTGATCATTTAAAATTTTGGTATTTCAGGACATGTTGTTATTATCTGCTATGGGTCCACCTGGTGGAGGTCGTATGGTCATCTCTCGTCGATTACAGAGTAGATTTAATCTTATTAACATGACCTTCCCTCACGTAAGTATCTGTCTGTCAAGCACTCCCTCATTGGAGGGACTTGAATAAGCCTCAGTCGTTTGGATGAAACTAGAGACTAGATCCCCTCACAATTGGAAATCAAAAATAGTGAAGACTGATTCAGAAGTCCCTGCAAAATTTCCCTCATTGTACACTTCAAGTCTACATTTGTTAACTATAGATGCTAAACAGTAGGAAAAAAAAAATTCATTATATATCTGAGCATTTTGATTCCTTAGAAAAGTTATGCAAGTTGTCAGAGTTTCCCTTTTTTTCATTTGTTCTACACTTAAATGATTTTTGACTCCAAGACATTTTTCTCGTAATTCAGGAATCCCAAATCAAGAGAATATTTGGCAGTATGATCAACCAGAAACTACAAGACTTTGAAGAAGAAGTAAAACCTATAGGTGACGTAATGACACAAGCCACTATAGAGATGTATAATTCAGTTGTATCAACCTTCCTTCCCACACCAGCTAAAATACATTATCTTTTTAACCTCAGAGACATCTCAAAGGTAGGTTAAGGGTGTTCAGAGTATTAGTAAAGCCTTTAGGTGACGTAATGTCAAAACCGCAAGTGAATGCTCAGTTGACAAATCATGTCCACCAGTAGAGTCATTGGCCAATTGTTGTTACTACTTACTCAATCTTTTGTCAAACATATCACAATGTGTTACTATTTGTAGGTGTTTCAAGGTTTACTAAGAGCTAATAAAGTTTACCATGATACTAAAGGTGCTATGACACGGTTGTGGATCCACGAATGTTTCAGGTAATTTATTTTACTATTGTCCTATTGGAGGGATCGGCTTATCCATGATAAGCATACTGAGATATTTCAGCCCCACCTCCACCTCGTTGGAAGATTTTGACTGATGACAAAAAAGAATTCTAAGAATTTTTTCTTAATCTTTATATGGATCAGGGACACTGTTAGCATCAATTTACACCATTCATATTTTCAGTCAGACGTCTGTGGTTCTTGTTATTCCACTAAAACTAAGTGTTTAATGAAATTTCTATCACAATGGCCCTAAACAACAATTAGCAGCTATGGCGATAGTGACGATGGCCTTTGATTCACATTTATTAACTTGTCGTTTCTATTTTTCAGAGTATTTTCTGACCGTCTGGTTGATGATAAAGATTATGAAGCGTTTGTTGGTATTTTAACAGAGAAGCTAGGAACCATGTTTGATCAGACGTTTCACAATATCTGTCCTAATAAACAACCTCCTATATTCGGTAAGTCTCAACCAGTGCTTTCTTTGTCTCATTATTGATAACATCAATTTGCACTCTTCAAATTTTCAATCAGACGTCTGTTGGTCTTGCAATTTCAACTTAAAATAATTGACTTGATTATGGTAAAGTCCCTTATATCAATGGGCAGATTTTGTGATAGTGATGTCATAAAACACTTACCTTAAGTAGAATTACAAGAACCACAGACGTCTGACTGAAAATTGTAATGTTGCAAATTGATGTTATCAGTGTCATTATGTATAAGTTGCTATGGAAAGTCAGCCTTCAATACAGTACAGAGCAGTAGGATGTAAAACTCCATTTCTCTCCTGTAGGTGACTATATCAGTACAGATCAAGTTTATGAAGATATAACAGATATTAATGCCCTGAAGAAACATATGGTAGAAACTTTAGATGAATATAATAATACTCCTGGAGTGGTCAATATGGATCTGGTATTGTTTAGAGATGCTATTGAACACGGTAAGTAATAGATACCAAATAACATAATTAAATAATGGTTTCTTCTATAGGGTTGCCAAAGTTACAAATTAGCTATGTGGATTAAAGAGATGCCAAGTTAACAAACCTTAATACCAAGCAAACATTAGCTATGTGGACTCTCTGAAAGGGATGCCAATTTGACAAACCTCAATACCTAAAAAAAAACATTTTTAGCTAGACTTAAGAATGACCTATGTAACAAGCTTGTCCACTAGCAGATTTCTTATCTTGAAGAAATTTGACAGATAAATTGTAACCATGATGATCTCCAATTCTAAGGCAAAGTAACTCTTACTGGAGGGGAAGTAACTCTTGATCAAAAAAAACAATTTCAGACCACAATATGACAATTCCACTTGGTCCTCTTTTCAGTATCTAAAATAGTTCGAGTTATTCGTCAGCCGAGAGGTAACATGTGTTTAGTTGGAATTGGAGGTAGTGGACGTCAGAGTTTAACGCGTCTGGCTGCTCATATCTGTGAATATTCAACTTTCCAAATAGAAGTTACTAAACAATACCGAAGGAATGAATTCAGAGATGGTAAGTTTAAAATTTTATAAATTTCTTAAACCTTGGGATCCAGGCCCCGTATTCTCATAAAGATCTTAGCACTAGGACGTCCTAGGGTCTTAATATCTAATACTGTTTTTGGACGTCCTAGTGCTAAGATTGTTTCGAGAATACCGAGCCAGAATTTAGTCCTTGCTTAGGTTAGAAACGTATCTTTGAATTGTTCACATCAATTTCTCTATGATCAATTCAATGTGCCAAGGTTTAAAATTGGACTCAACACTTGAAAATTAAAAAATTGTTAGGCTAATTTCACTCATCGCACACTCCATTTCATTCTCTTGTTCCGACATTGAAAACTTTGCCTTATAGTTAAAGCATCATATACAGCTTATGCTGTTGTCCTGGCAAATTTCCCTCATTGCACACTGCATTTCATTCCTTGTTATCCAAATCTGAAAATGAGAAATAGAACATTGACCTAAATTCAATTTCATTGAATTTGAATTTTGCTGAGAAATAAGCTTACTTCTGATGTTAATGTCCCACATTGTACACTGCATGTATTTGCGCTTACACTGAATTTTGACCATGTTTCAGATTTAAGAAAGTTATATTACCAAGCTGGTGTAGAGAACAAACCATCTTGTTTCCTGTTTTCTGATACCCAAGTTGTTGAGGAAAGTTTCCTGGAAGATTTGAACAATGTTCTCAGTAGTGGAGAGGTTCCTAATTTATACAAACCTGAAGAATTTGAAGAGGTATGTGATAGGGGTTGACTCTCAAAAGCATTGGTCGTGGCATCAGAATTCTCCTTACCTTGAATTCAAATTCCCCTCAAGGTATCTAATTGCCTTGCAGACGATAATCAACTGAGCTATTCCTCAGTCATAAGTGAGTTTAATTCTGCATCAACTCATGAAAACACTTGCCATGGCATATTGACAATTGATACTAGAATTAGTCTGAAAAACCATTTTTTTTATTGACAAGAGGAAGTAAAACCGCAATTTATATTTTCTGTCTATAGGTACGCAGTGCTCTAACAGATGTAGTGAAAAAAGAAGGAATAGATGATACCCCACAGAGTGTCTTTAGTTTCCTAATCAACAGAGTTCGAGCTAATCTTCATGTTGTCTTGTGTATGAGTCCAGTTGGAGAGGCTTTCAGGTAAGTGTAAGAGATAATTTGGAGACTAAAGGGTGATAATTTGAAGACTAAAGGGAGATAATTTGAAGACTAAAGGGGGATAATTTGGAGATTAAGGGGAGATAATTTGAAGACTTAAGGGAGATAATTTGGAGACTAAAGGGAGATAATTTGAAGACCAAAGGGAAATAATTTGGAGATTATGGGAAGTTAATTTGAAGACTAAAGGGAGATAATTTGGAGAATAAAGGGAGATAATTTGAAGACTAAAGTGAGATAATTTGGAGATTATGGGGAGTTAATTTGAAGACTAAAGGGAGATAATTTTGAGATTATGGGGAGTTAATTTGAAGACTAAAGGGAGATAATTTGGAGAATAAAGGGAGATAATTTGAAGACTAAAGTGAGATAATTTGGAGATTATGGGGAGTTAATTTGAAGACTAAAGGGAGATAAATTTGGAGACAAAAGGGAAATAATTTGAAGGCTGTAGTGTTATTTGAATTTTGAGTTTACATTGTAGAAACTGTATTTGAATGTATTCTGTATTTACATTGTAGAAACCGTATTCGAATGTATCCAGCGTTTGTCAACTGTACGACTATTGATTGGTTCAGTGAGTGGCCACAAGATGCTTTGTTAGAAGTTGGTAATAAATATCTTTCAGAGACTTCACTTGGTAGCGAAGAAGATGTAAGTTAAAGCTTTTTGATTTTTAACAGTCTTTTACCAAATCAAATTGTTGCCAGTTTTGATCTTTCCCTTCTTTTTTCAACCAGGTTCCCAAGGTTGAAGGAGCTGGTGTTTAGTTGTTCAGATGGGACAATAAAGCAAGGCCCTGTGTTCTAGAGGCTGTGAATTTTAAAATGAAATGAAATAAAATGAATGAAGTTTAATGTCCTACTTTGAAGAACTCCCGACAGTTGGAAATCCAAAATGACAAGCCTAATTTTTCTGTCCTGGCATTTTCTGCAATGCATTCTTCATGACTGTAATAACTATGGCATACGTAGTAGGATTTTATTACAGACTTGTCAAACTTTTGCATAATTTCAAAATTCACACTGTATTTCAATATATTTTTAACTTGTTTCTTTTCTAATTCTCTTCCAGGATAAACTGAAACCACAAGTAGCCACCATGTTTTCTGTGATGCACAAATCTGTGTCTGAGTATTCAGCTAGGATGCTGGCAGAAATGAGACGTCACAATTACGTCACTCCAACAAATTACTTAGAACTGGTATCAGGATACAAAAAGTAAGTATTGGTCTGCTTCACTGATGGATATACGCTGATAATTGACTAACTCATACACCATTTTGATATATTCACTTCACCTGATTCCATTTGATATCAGTTCGATGAAAACGCAGATCTTAATGTTTTGGTTTTGATAAGATTATTCTATTTGTCATCCATGATCTAACGAAATTTTTAATCAATGCATGTTCTAGAAGATTAAATATAGCCAATGGAATGCTAAGTTACAGAAGGATGCAGGAATTAAACCCCATTTCATTAGCCTGTTCAATGTACTAGTATGTAACACTCCATTCAATTTCAGGTTGTTGTTCAAGAAGAGAAAGGAACTAGGAGATGCCGCCAATAAATTGCGGAATGGTTTGAGTAAGATCGATGACACCAGAGAGAAAGTTCAGAACATGTCCGTGGAGTTGGAATTAGCTAAAACGAAAGTAGCCCAGTTTCAGAAACAGTGTGAGGAATACCTTGTAGTTATTGTACAACAAAAACGAGAGGCTGATGAACAACAAAAGGTAGGATTTCAATTACTTTTTTTGACCAACTTGCATGGTTGGAACAAGAGTATGCAAAATTTCCTTTTAATTTGGTTAAATGAACTCCAGTTCTGACAAAAAAAATTTCTAAATTATCTCCCTTTAGTCTTCAAATTATCTCCCTTTAGTCTTCAAATCATCTCCCTTTATTCTTCCAATTATCTCCCTTGAGTATTCAAATTATCTCCATTTAGTCATCAAATCATCTCCCTTTAGTCTTCAAATCATCTCCCTTTAGTCTTCAAATTATCTCCCTTTAGTCTTCCAATTATCTCCCATTAGTCTTCAAAATGTCTCTGTTTCTATTTCAGTCTGTGGCTCAAAAAGGAGAGAGGATTGCCGAGGAAGAAACAAAATGTCGTCACATGGCAGAGTTAGCTCAGCAAGATTTAGATGAAGCCTTACCAGCTCTACAAGAAGCCATCAAGGCTCTAGAATCCCTGAATAAGAAGGACATGACAGAAATCAGGTCATACGGTCGACCCCCACCCCTAGTAGAAAAAGTCATGGAGGCTGTCATGATTCTAAGAGGTGGAGAACCAACGTGGGCTGAGGCTAAGAAACAACTTGGTAAGTTGACTGGTTAAAATTGGTCAATTTTTTTTGTCTTTGAAATTGCTAGGACTGAACATAAGAAACGTTAAACTAATTTATATTAGTGGAGAGCATTAATTCATTCTAGGTGATGGTAATTTTCTTAAACAATTGATGAACTTTGATAAAGACAACATAACTGACAGAATCCTAAAAAAGATTGGGCAGTATTGTTCACAAGCTGATTTCCAGCCTGAAACTATTGGTCGAGTATCAAGAGCTGCTCGGTCACTGTGTATGTGGGTACGAGCTATGGAAGTGTATGGGCGTATTTACAGAGTGGTGGAACCGAAACGTCAGAGACTGAATGGCGCCATGACACAGCTCAAAGAGAAACAGGATGCCTTATCTGATGCCCAAGCTAAGCTCGCTGAGGTAAGATAGAATTTCTAAAAAATTAGATTTCATAATTGTTGGCAAAACAAAGACACATTAATAACACAAAAAAACTTCAGACAATTTTTCAGCTTTCGTTATGTCTAAAAAAAAAATACATAGGCTACGGTATATTTGCCCAAGGGGTGAGCATCACTTTTTTCCCTCAAGTAAATCTGAAAAGATTTTGTCAAAGTATATAATACACACCCCATTTGGGTGAAATTATAAAGAAGTTGGCAAAACACAGACACCAAGATATTTTACTATGAAAAGAATTCCAAACATATCATTTAATTTCAGGTTGAAGAAAAGATGGCTAAATTGAAACTGGAATACGATGAGAAATTAGCCCAGAAGGAAGAACTAAAACGAAAAGCTGAACATACAGAGATGATGTTGGATCGTGCCTCGAAACTCGTATCTGGTTTGGCAGGGGAGAGAATCAGATGGCAAGAAACTGTCAAGGTGAGATAACTTTCAAATTTTTACTTTCTTGAACTTCAGTTATGATTTATGAGGGTTCTACAGATTTTGACATTTTTTGGAGACATACATCATGTTTGTTTTTGATTGTAGGATCTTGAAGAAAGAATGGGTTTCCTGGTTGGTGATTGTCTGATAGCAGCTGCCTTCCTGTCCTATATGGGACCCTTCCTTTCAGACTACAGGGATGAACTGGTTCAACAGAGATGGATGAAAGAGGTAAGACAGGCTGGATACTAAAAATACCCCTATTTTTGCAATTGATTTCATCCAATCATACGTAACAAGAGTTTCCTTCAAATCCCATACAGAATATTGTAATATTGTGGTCTGGATTAGTCCCTACTTAACAAGAGTTACTTCCCTGCTAGTTTGCTAGAGTGGTTTGCCCCTTCTGTCATATGAAGGCGAACATTGAAGGCGAACACCCAGAGCATGTGTCCCATGTCACCTCTCCACATACATATTTGTTGTTTGGTAAGATTTTGTATCATTCAAAACAGACGTTTGATCAAATTTGTTAATTTTTTAATTTTTCAGGTTCGAAAATTAGGATTACCATGTGACCCCTGTTTTAGTTTCTGTAATTTTATGAGTAAACCAACCCAAGTACGAGACTGGAACATCAAGGGTCTGCCGTCTGACAGTTTCTCCACGGAGAATGGTGTCATAGTGACTGAGGGCAGTCGTTGGCCCCTCATGGTCGATCCCCAGGGACAGGCTATTAAATGGGTCAAGAACATGGAAGCTGATTATAACGTAAGTAATTTGGAGAAAAAAAATTAGGTGGCTCTCGAGTTGGACCCTTAATTTCTAATGGAGGGTTCTGGGGTTTAAACTTAAAAAACTTCGAGATATACCTCAAGATATTTTAACCTGGTTTCCCTGAACAGAACTTGAACTGAACGTGTCAATGTTCAACTCACGGAAATTAACGAACATTGGTGAATGTTGAGCAGAATGAAAAACTGTGACATTACTTGGTAATGGCTGCTTCACAGACATGGCAGATAGAGCTGCTTCTAGTGTTCCTTTGTTAACGCTTTATATTGAATCGATGATATGTAACATTTAATGAAGGTCAAAATGTGGTATCAAATCACACGGTTATCTGACTGGTAGTATTGAAAGAGTTCATGTTTAGTAAATGATATTAAATTACAGTTAAAAGTGATAGATTTACAGCAGTCGGACTATATGAGGACACTAGAAGCCTCTGTTCAACATGGTATACCAGTCTTACTACAGAATGTCCAGGAGGAACTTGATCCTTCTCTAGATCCTATTCTTAATAGATCACTCATGAAAATAGGTAAGGAATTTGTTATTTCAACGTTCTTGTTGTTTCAATAGTCTTTGCCTATTAGATATTTTTGTGTATACGTAATTGTTGTGTATGTAAATAGGATAAATGAAAGAATACATCTTGTACAATCTTTATCATAGCCAAAGGGGTGTTGGGGCTGCCAGTGGTCCTCCAGATGCCAACGGATATCAGATGGTCTAAGATGAATTTTGAGGATTCAGAGGACTTAATGTTTGCTTCAAAATAAGACCTCCACAGGCCTAAGGGGGAGGCCATGCCGTGTCCCCTAAATACTCTTCTGAATTAATCGTAAGAAAGACTTCAAATTTTCAACAATTTTTCTTAATTTTTCAGGAGGAGCCTGGATAATCCGATTGGGAGACAAAGAAGTGGAATATAATTTTGATTTCCGATTCTACATCACCACTAAACTTAGCAATCCTCACTATCCACCTGAGGTCTCAACTAAAACTACCATTGTCAACTTCGCTGTGAAGGAACAAGGTAAGTTAAAACTCGTGGGGTATCCTTATCTTGGGCATGACAACAGGGGCAAGCAACTCTGTCTGATAAGAAGGGATGTTACTCTAGCTAAGGACTATTTCTGACCACAACGACATCAAATTAATGATAACTCATCAGTTTTGAATAAAAAAAAGAGACTTTTCATATTTTATCTACTATGTAGGTCTGGAGGCCCAACTACTGGGTATTGTGGTTCGTAAAGAAAGACCAGAGTTAGAAGAACAGAAAGACAGTCTAGTCAGAAATATCGCGTCTGGTAAGAAGAAACTGGTAGAATGTGAAGATGAGATTCTGAGGTTCGTTCGATTTTAAGTTTTAACAAAATAAGACCAAATCTTAGCAATAAACTGTAGACTGTAGATGATGAACTTCCTTCCTTTTTAGAGAGTCCACATAGCTAATCTTTTTTCATCATTTTCAGATTACTGAACGAAACTAAAGGTTCTCTGTTGGATGATGAACAACTTGTGAACACACTGCAGACATCTAAAACAACTTCTCAAGAAGTTTCCGAACAGCTCCAAATATCAGAACAAACTGAGGCAAAGATTGATGCCGCCCGAGAGGTGAGAGGCCATTTTTTATTAATAATCGGATAAAACAATACCAATTTGAGGACCATCCACAGAAATATTTTCGATTTGTCCTCACCTTCAAAAAATACCATTGAAAGTGTTGCTATAAACAATGAGTATGTGAACTCAGCATCTCTATCAGAGAGTCCACATAACTTTACTATGAAGAACTGTTAACAGCATTATGAATAGATAGCATTGTGGTCTTAAAACATCACATATGGTTGAAAGAGTTTGCTCCCCTTAGATAATGAAGTGCCTTGATAAGAGACCTAACAATTCCTGTGTAAAAACCTCCAAGATGATTCCAAACTTTTCCCTTGGTTGAACACTTCTCTTGGTTTGCTGGACGTCTCCGCCTCCTTGCTTTGTCGTACATTGTCATAGGTATGCTCTCCATTTCTGATAGCCAATCCTGAAGGTATGTATCAGATAAGGCTTGATGATCTGAAGTAAAGTAGACTATTCGTGTTTTTGTTTTGAATCTTCCCTGAGGTGTAGAAATATCTGTTGTCACGAATTCACATATTAGATCACAATAATTCATCTTGAATCACCACTTTTTTGCTACTCTGCATGCCAGTTGAAAGCCTGTCGTTTGCTTTTAATACACTTAACTTCGTAAGCTTGCTCATGGATGCCAGTTTTAGAAAATTTCACCAAGCACTTATGTGATCTAGCTTACTGCTTGAATCATATTTTTTGGGCTTTTGATGGATGTTTTTAAGAAGATGTAGCAGATGAAATGTCAGGGAACTGTGATAGCATCAGTTTACACCATTCCTATTTCAATCACACGTCTGTGGTTCCGTAATGCAAATTTAGCGATTAGTGACAAATTGCAGGAACCACAGAAGTCTGATTTGAATGATGCAAATTGATACTATCAGTGTCCCCTATACACAAAAAAAATATAGAAAACCTCTTTACAATCCCTTTAAAACCTAAATAATATGCTTATTTGACCTAATGTATATCTCTAAATGCATAAACTTTGTATCTAACCTTAAAAATCTATCTAACCTAGCCCGCTATATATCCTTATCTAACCTAAATATAACCTCATCCAGTGAAATGTAATCACATATAGCGCTTATCTAACCTAACCTATAACCTTATCCAATTATATATCTTCATTATGCTGACCTATATCTCCTCAAATCTATCCTATAATATGAATGAATCATCAATTCAACCAATCTGATCTTATTTCAGGGTTATCGTCAATGTGCTCAACGTGCTTCGATCCTGTTTTTTGTGCTGAATGATATGAGCAGGATTGATCCTATGTACCAATTCTCATTAGATGCCTACATCGAGTTGTTCATCCTGTCAATTGAGAAAAGTCAACGTAGTTCCAAACTAGAGGAACGAATCCTGAATCTTAATGAATACCATACTTATGCTGTGTACAGGTAGGCTTACTGAGTTATCTCCCTTGTTGGATTTCTCATAATTGATGAGGATCGTGTATCTGAAACTTGTGTCAGCAGTATGAGATTAGCTCTAGTTAATTAGTTAATATTGAATCTTATATTGGAAAGTTCACTTCCATTTATTCAAATTTTTTTTTCTTTTTCAGATATACCTGTCGAGGGTTGTTTGAAAGACACAAGCTTCTCTTCTCTTTCCAAATGTGTGCCAAGATCTTGGAGCATGCTGGAAAAATCAACATGGACGAATACAACTTCTTCTTACGGGGTGGAGTGGTATGTACACCTTTAGGTTTTGTTAATGATAATCAAGGAAAGATCAACGTTAAGAGGTTTGGTCAAGTACTAGCTGGTAGAAAAGGAAGTCTGTGAAGCTAAGATGTTATCCTTGTAAAATATAGTTGTTTACTTCTTTCTTTGTTTTGAAACATTGCTGGAGAGAAAAAGATTCCTTGTTTGCCTGGGTACAGTTTCCCCTTTTTATCTATTTCTGTAGCTTTATTGCTATGTCATCATTGGAAAGTGTATTCAACAACAAAGGATTTTTCTGAATGATTTATCTTCTAGGTGATCGACAGAGAAAATCAAATGGATAACCCATGTTCAGCTTGGTTATCAGATAACGCGTGGGATAACATCACAGAGCTGGATAAATTGATCAACTTCCACGGTGTAATAACATCTTTTGAACAATACCCACGAGACTGGAGGAACTGGTTTACCTCCCCTGAGCCCGAGACCACGTCACTACCAGGTAGGAGATAATAGATTATTAGCGATAGAATTGCTCCTTTGAGAACAAGCCATAGCACAATCAGTAAGAGCCTTTGAATTTTAAATGACATCATTTCATTGGTTATGTCAAACAAAATGATGGTTGTGGGCTCTCATCTGGATCGGTGTGTGAAATTCTGGTGATTTTGAATAAATCATCTTTCATCATTTTTCTTGTCAACTCAGATTTAAAGTGGTACTGTTGATGCTAGAAATTTGAATGCCAAGGACCATCTGGTAGGCAGTGTTGGAGCCAGGTATACGTCCGAGTGGGGGTCGAAATATCTGAGATTGCCCCAATCTCTAACCTTGTTGCTTTCGGGGCTGAGAGGGGTCCGCCAGCGCTGTTCCATTTCATTACAGTTGGGTGTAAACTCCATTTCATTTGAATTCCAGGTGAATGGGACAATGCATGTAATGAACTACAGAGAATGTTGTTGCTGAGGTCTCTACGACCTGATAGAGTGTCATTCTGTGCCACATCTTTCATCGTCAACAACTTGGGCTCCAAGTTTGTGGAACCACCTGTATTGGATATGCAGTCTGTCGTAGATGATTCTACCACTAGGACTCCGTTGATCTTTGTACTCTCGGCTGGAGTGGTAAGTGGAAGCAGTTCCATCTTTACAATAGCTAACTATTACAAACTCCCATCTAATACCTTGACATCTTTAGATACTTTTCTTGTTTGAAAGTCATATGGCAACTGTTGGCTAGCTTCAAAAATATGAGTTATCTCCCTTGTAGAGTTGATCTCTTGACAAACGAAATTCTAAGTATAGTATGCTAATGCTGCTGTCCTGGTATTTACCCTTATAGCACACTGCATGGCATTGCCCATCTTCATTACCCCAATTGGGTGCAGAAGCACCATTCATTTTATTTTGTTTGTCCCAAATTGATCTAAATTCACGATGATTTTTTTTTTGCAGGACCCAACAAGTTCCCTACATCAATTAGCTGAGAACTGTAAAATGAGTAACCGATTCCACACCCTGTCTCTAGGTCAAGGTCAAGCTCCCATAGCAACTAGACTTATCAAGCAAGGTGTGAAAGAGGTAAGGTCAGAGTTTGAGAATCCAAGTTATTATTGTTATTGAATCAATGCAAACAAGGTTGGCCACCTACCAGATGGTAGAAAGGATCCTTGACCAAGTACCAGTTGGTAGAAAGGATCCTCGTGAAAATTGGCTGTTCTTTCGTTGAATTTTTCTGTTTTATATTCCAGGGTCACTGGGTATTCTTAGCTAACTGTCATTTATCATTGAGCTGGATGCCCCAACTTGACAAACTGGTAGAGCAGCTGCAGATCGAGGAACCCCATCCAGATTTCAGGCTCTGGCTGTCCTCCAGTCCTCATCCAGAATTCCCCATTTCCATCCTTCAGCAGGGTATCAAGATGACCACAGAACCTCCCAAGGTTTGTACCACTTATTTTTTCCTGAGGCTTTATCAGCCTAGAATAGTAAGAAGTAAAACTCCAATTAGTCCAATAAGATACATTAGTTCAATAATTTCAGAAAAAAACTTAAGAACAATTTTGTTGTAGCTAATACTAGTTTCTTTTCCGAGACAATCTAAGAAATTCTGAATGGCATATGTTACAAAAATCCATTTTAAATTTGACAATAATTCTTTTTCAGGGATTGAAAGCCAACATGAAGCGTCTGTATAATCTGATTACAGAGAACCAGTTTCATCGTTGTGGAAAACAGGATAAATACAAGAAACTTCTCTTCTCTCTCTGTTTCTTCCATTCTATCCTGCTGGAGAGACGAAAATTCTTGATGCTCGGATGGAACATTGCTTACGAATTCAACGACTCAGATTTTGAGGTAAGTGTTTAAAGGATGTACCAAAAGCTGATTCCTAGACAAATGGAAAGCACAAGAAGAAATACTAATGTTGTTCTTGTGTAATTTCCTTGAGCTGTAGTGGCTCAGTGAGTTAGAACCTTGCTCACTAACCTGAAGGGCCAGGGTTCAATCCCAGCACAATTCCAGATGATATCTTCAGATGTTTCAACCTAGTGATGCAAGTCAGAGGAACTGAAGTAGACAAAGCCTGAAGTCATCAGATCTGACAACAAACCAGGACTCATTTTCATTTTGTAGGTGTCCGAGAATCTTCTAAGTATCTATTTAGACACGTATGAAGAGACGCCATGGGATGCTTTGAAATATCTGATAGCTGGTATCAACTATGGTGGACATGTTACAGATGATTATGACCGACGCTTGTTGATGACTTATGTTAATGATCAATTCACTGAAGCGGCCTTGACAACACCATTCTTTAGGTGAGTTACTTCCCTTGACCAAGCATTTCTTTGGGTTATTTCCCTTGTCCATATCACTCAAAAGTTGAGTTACTTCCCTTGTCTATGACACTCTTACGATGAATTATTTCCCTTACTTACCTCACGCCATTCTTAAGATGAGTTACTTCCCTTGTCCAATATGCTTTGTGAGTATCCAATGAGTTTTTTTTCCCTTTTCATGACACTCTTTAGCTGAGCTATTTCCCAAGATTTATTGTTAATGCTCATTTCTCTTCTTGTTCTCAATCTGTATCAATCCATTTTCTTTTTCAGAGTATCTTCTCTACCTACATACTACATACCAAAAGATGGTCCACTGGCCTCGTACAAGGAATACATCAGTATGTTACCAAATATAGATCATCCTGAAGCCTTCGGTCAGCATCCCAACGCAGATATCACCTCTCAGATTCAAGACACTAGAATCCTATTCGACACCCTGCTGTCCCTACAACCACAAGTTTCTAGCACTGCTGGCGAAAGTCGTGAAGACAAGGTAAGAATTTTGGATTCAGCGCTGAAAATTGAAATTTGTGAGTCAGCTGCTTTTTTTTCAAATTGAAGTTTATATCTTAAAGCTCATTAATGACATTTGGAGAGTTCACAAGCTAACATTGTGTTTATCTATTACAGGTGTTGGATTTAGCAGCCAATATTTTCCGTCAGATACCAGAGAATATTGATTATGAAGGAACAGCTCAGATACTGTCCACAGATCCATCTCCACTTAATGTGGTCCTCTTACAAGAGGTAGGTAGTCTGGGAGGGGGAACTTCAATTCAGGATCTCGGTTCTACATAAAAATCTTGTGATCAAATATTTTCCAAAGAATGGTATTTTTCAAACTTTGACACTCATTCCGCTATTTTGTCTGATGTCTGTGATTCCTGTAATTACAGAAATGCTAGCCCAAATATGACCTCAGTAGTGCTGCATTGCAAAAGCTGCTGATAATGTAGGACAGCAAATTTCATGGATTTTTCCACTTTCAGACATTTTCCATATATTTCATTGGGAAACAACTTCAGAACTGGTTGAACCTTGAATTGTCTGTGCCTAAAGAACTTTGATTGTGTATTTCAGATTCAAAGATACAATGCTTTATTAGAAGAGATCCGATCTTCCCTGACGGATTTAGAGAAAGGAATCCAAGGTTTGGTTGTGATGACCTTAGAATTAGAAAACATCTTTACCTGTATCTTTGATGGTAGAGTCCCACCAGCTTGGGAAAAGGTAAGCATCTTCTTTCATAAGTTAGTTGATGAACAATGAAAACCAAAAACTGTCTGAAAATTCTGACAGAGATCTGTATTGTTTGAAAAAATATGTTTAAGGAAACAGTTCATTTTTCATATATGAGAAAATTTTGTTCATAGCTTTTCTTTTGGTAAGGGAAATAACTCCATCAAATTATGTCAAAATAGAAGCATTGTAGTCATATGCAAGCTAACATTCATTCAAAAAAGGCTGGAAACTCCAATGAGTCATGTCAAAATAGAAGTGTTGGCCAAATACAAGCCTTTATTCTTATAAGGGAGGCAACTCCAATGAATCATGTCAAAACAAGCATTGTGATCTGTTGGTTTCATTCATACAAGGGAAGCAACTCCAATGAATCATGTCAAAATAGAAACATTGTAGTCTGTAGCTATTCATTAATTTCTAATAACTTTTCTCCTTACAGGCCTACCCATCAATGAAACCACTGTCAGCTTGGACCAGAGATTTGGTTTTAAGAGTAGAACAGTTTGCTAAATGGGCACAGACTGCTCATCCTCCAGTTCTATTCTGGATGGCTGCTTTCACCTTCCCTACTGGTTTCCTTACTGCTGTATTACAGAGTTCTGCTCGACTTAACAATGTAAGTTTTTTTATACCTTGAACGATTTGTATGTCCAAACTGTAAAAACAGAACCAAAATCCAACACCATACAAAATCAGGACACCAAACAAAGGCAGCATGAATCTAATTTTCTATAAAGAATGTAAGAAAATACTGTGGCTGATGCCATTGTCATTATAGGCATTTTTAATTGTAAGGGAAGTAACTCCAATGAGTTGAATGATGTCAATACTAACTGTGGTCTGTTGCATTGCTTGCCCTGCTGAATTGTTATTCCTAAATTTATAAGGGAAGCAACTCCATTGAGTGATGTCAAAAAATTACAATTGTGGTTTGTTGCCAATTTAATAAATTCTTTCTTCTAATCAGGTCTCCGTGAATTCACTGTAATGAATATAATAATTTAATTTTGTCCTAGGACCCATATATGGTCGAAACTAGAGCAAGAAAACAGGGTGTAAAACTCCATTCTATTTCATTCCAGGTCTCTATTGACTCCTTGTCATGGGAATTCACAGTGATGACAGTGGATGAATCCAACTTTGTAAAAGGGCCTATGGATGGTGTATTGGTTAAAGGACTGTTCCTACAGGGTGCTGGTTGGGATATGAAGAACACATGTCTTATAGAAGCTAATCCTATGCAGCTAGTATGTCCTATGCCTGTCATCCATTTTAAACCTGTAGAAAATAAGAAGAAATCAAGCAAAGGTACAGAATTTCGTTACTTTGATGCATCGAAATGTTCTTGTAAATTCTTCTCAGTCATTCATTCATCACTCAAGTTTCTCTCCTGTCAGAGATGCATTCAGAGGGGCTGACATATATAAAGTGTCTATTCCTGCAGATAGGGAAACCTACATATGTATTTATCTCTCATTGCACACTGCATGGCATTGCCTGTCTTAATTTACCCATTCAATTAAGCTTGATCCACTCAAAAATTTCGTCCAAAGAATGTTTTAATGTTAGAAGATAAGAATCTAGGACATCCTTTACGTGGCCAGGTGTTTCGAAAAGTAACTATATCTGCTTGGCGTGCAACACCCGCTTCTACTATAATGGTAAAAGCTTAATCTTATTTTTGTCTTCTTTTCAGGAACATACATGTGTCCCTGTTACTATTATCCCAACAGAACAGGTACCTCCTCCAGACCATCCTTCGTGGTGTCTGTTGAGTTGAAATGTGGTGAGAAGACAGCAGATCACTGGACCAAACGTGGTACAGCCTTATTGATGAGTTTAGACTATTAATGAGATACAGCTAGCATATTTATAAAAGATGATTGGAATCGTACTGTGAGATATTAAAAGAAATGAAAATACATGTAGAGACAGAATACTTAAAAAAAAAAAAAAAAAAAAAGGATACACATTTTTCGAAAATTAAGTTTTATACTAGTATTTGACAATGTCTTCATTTCAAAATCTGAAATTTTTGGTCCTGTTAGTTTAACATTTGCTGCTGATTGTACAATATTTCCTGTGATATCTGAATTTTTTATACAATTTTTATTTCATTATTCCACATTTTGTTAAGAAAATTGTGGGATCAATATCTTATTAGAATATGTGAATTTTCAGTTAAATTTCTAAGTTTCAAACAGCATTTGTCCTAAATTTTTGGACAGGCTTCCTTTCAATTTGTCCTCATTCAACAGCATTATATCCTCACTTATCTTACTACTAATATTACCATTATATTTGAAATCAGTCATAAAGCCAAATTTTACAGATTGTACAGCATTACTTAGCCAATTCTTTTTTCTTCCAACGTGGATTGTGTTTGCTTTGTTAAAATAGCTGATTGCATTACTGTTAATTGCATATGAAAACTCTATTATTGTAATCCCAAACTTTATCAGGACACTCCAGAAGGAATTCCAATTTAAAAAAATGAATCTGAGGGGCATCAGGTGATCCAGAAGAGTTAGTAAGCTATGTTCACTAACAGTAGGTTCTACCCTCAATAGTGTAAATCAATTTCAATTATTCGCGACCTACTTCAATTTCTAAATTCAAGCCCAATTATTAGTTTAAATTCACATGAATTTCCGTCCCCATTTGTTATTTATTTAGTTATAAATTTTATTATTTATATTTATTGATATTTATACTGAAATTGTTGATATATAGATTTGTTATGGAAGAATAAAATACTGTATCAAAAATATTTAAGCTATATCTTAGTTTTCAAATTAGTTGAATTTATAGAGGCTGTAAGATAACCGGATTACAGATTAGACTACAGACCGAAATCGTGTTTCAATTGACTTCATTTATTGGAGTTACCTCCCCTTAGCTGCCATTTGCATTTTTAAGTGAACACCTGTTCAGTTTATTTCAAAATTGTAGCAGTTTAGTCCACTGTTTAGTTGCTCTGTGTTTCCAATTTTGTCCTTGAATAATGATAGTTTATGTTGGTTTTCTCCTTGTGATCACAAAATATAAAAAAATATTTTGGACTTGACTTGAAGTGCTATGTGAATCAATTTCCAAGTACAAGTAAATACATCGCCTCTTTTGGCCTCAGACCCTTCTGTTCAAAGTGTTTTGGGGTAAGTACAGATATTCCTTCAATCAAAGCAATATGGTTTCACACTCACAACCACCCACCCTCACCCTTTCTTGGATAATTTGTTTCGTTAAATTCTGTGAGCTTCGTCAATCATTCATGAGGGCTTGAAACTTTTTCTAAAATTGTCCTTACTCTTCGCACTTTGTGTTCTTCGTTTTCTGTATCCCAGAATAGTGGGACGTAAAACTCTATTAGATTTCATTCAAATTATTTTCATAAACACATGAACTCTGTCTACACAAGATCGAGCAATTGCTTTTGTTATTCAAATGAATCTCAACACGACACGGTAAAGGCTAAGAATACCCACAATGTTTACAAATAAACAAAACAAGTTGCTAATAATAATTTATTATAAAGGTGATAAATTAAAGAAAGGTCACAACCTAAAGCGTTAGCTTGTAACATCTTGTTTTTAGTTGATCCTATACTTCAATAGTAACCTTTAAAGGGATTGTAAAAATGTTTTCTAAACTTTTCCAATAAAACTTTTTATGACATCACTGCTTCTATTGATATATAAGCGTTATTGACGTCATTAAACGCTAAGTTTAAATGGAATTGCAAGAACCATAGATATCTGATTGAAAATTAGATTGCAGCAAATTGATGCTATCAGTGTCCACGATACACATAAAAAGTTTAGAAAATCTCTTCACAATCCCTTTAAATGGTAACAAGCTACTATAAATATATGGTGCCTTCGCTTCTTATTTTTTCAAATCTCCTGAAAAAAGAAAATTCATCAATAGTAAAGACAGGTACCATACAGCTGATGCAGTTCAATTTCAACCATCCGAAACACTTTTCAGAACTAAAATCCAACGTCAGGTTTGAAAAGATTTATGAAATACTCATGGAAAAATAGGAAATCCAAGAGTAAATCATGTTGTCATACATCTGATACAGTTCAATTTCAGCCATCTGTGTCTCTTTTCACGTTTAAAATCATACGTCAGGATTGAAAAAATTGATACAATACGTACACAATAAGGTTCTTTTGGTGCTGTTTTCAGACAATATTTCTGTGGCTCCGTTCCACTTCCGCTGTATGTGGATTCTGCGTAGTAGCCCATTCTGACTTTTCCGGCAACATGGGTGTCGCAGACGTTGGCCCAGTAATCGCAACCGTTGATGGAATTGGTAAAGTACGCAGTTGCTCTGTTGTGGCTGCATTCTGTAAGATGCAAATTAGAGATTAGATTTAAGTGATACACTGTCAAATGTGTTTGTAAAATACACGCATGGAAAATGGCAAATGACAGTGCCCGAACTATACACTGTAAAAACGTGTTTGTAAAATACACGCATGTCGGCAATTATTGAAAGTGCACCTACTATACACTGTAAAATGTTTTTGTGAAACACAAGCATGGAAAGGCAAAAATGGCAAATGAGAGTGCGCTATACACTGTAAAAAGTTTTCGTAAAACAGAAGATTTGTTTCATGAACCTCGCCGAGGCCCAGTAAATAGAGGACGGGGCGTTGCCTCTATGCCCCTTGTATCTACGAGCCTGCAACAAAGAGTGAAAACTTACTCGTCGAATCGCATCCGGGCTGTTCTTCGCCTCCGTTAGGATAGAAATCGACTGTTCCAAGGGTTTCACCACTTTTGTATCCGAAATCTGAAATCAGAAGATTGGAAGAAAATAAAATGGAGTTGTATATCCTACGACTGGTTGGTATCAAATATGTCAACATTGAGGCACAAACTGCAACAATTCCCATACATTGATCGAGATTTTTCACAGCTCCACAAATTATTGCAAGATGAAAAGCCCAATCGTTTAGTGACATCAGGTTATTCAAAAGACCTGTGTTATATTGGTGATCCTGTGGAGGGAAGAGATTGGGATATTCAGATATTTCTGTCGTTTGAGCAAACAATTCATGACGGAGGTTTCCACAATAGCATGTCCAGCTGTGTTTTGCTCCTCGTTGGCCAGGAGCGTAAAAATTGGTATGAGCAGTCCAAAAGGTTCACCAGAGGTGGAGACTCTCGGCGGTCTTTGCTTCTTATTCTTCTTGGTATGTAAGAAGCGTGAAAGGTGGTACAAGAAATTCAAAAGTTTCATTAAAAGGTTCAGAGTATCTTTGACTTACCCAATTCTTTCACATGCCCATCGTTGGTGTGGATCACGTCCACGAAGTCAGCATCAGTCTTGGCCAATCTTCCAGAAGGAGGGTTGTTGATAAATCTAAATCCAGCCGGGTCCAAGCCAGTGATTCGTCCTGGTTTATCGTTGGTTTCTAACTTCATATGTTTACCAGTAAATCCTGCTGCATGAGCTCCTAAACTGTGCCCAATGAGATGAATTTTGGATGCGTGCTGATGTTTCTTATCCATCATGGTCTTGATGAGATCCCCAGTGACGGTTCCGACTCTTCCGGTGTTGCCGACAGCCCAGAAATAGGATCGCCAGCTGATTCTGGCTCCGATTGCCCAATCTACGATAACAACGTTATCAATATCGTCCTGTAATGCAGATACCAAAAACGATATTAGCTATGTGGACTCTCTGAAAGAGATGCCGAGTTTACAAACCTAAATACACACTATTAGCTATGTGGATACAAACTTAAATACCAAAACGAATGTTGTGAATGTACACCTTGTTGCAGAGCATGCCCTTTAGACAGGAAATTGCACATTTGTTTGGAAGCAATCAATAAGGATATAGTCGTCGGACACCCAAAAGGCCATTGCCACTTTTCTGACACTTTTTCCCTCACTGCGCACGGCACAACGTTTCGCAGCCAATTGTGGAAACGTGGAACTTAAACCTCATACTTACCAATTTCAAAAGTTCGTTTTTCATGTTCTGAATCCAAGTTGACAAACCATTATCAGTATTGCCGTGAAAGAGAAAGACGGTCTTGCCATCACTGACGAACGTGTTACCCAAGTTCTTTTGGTTGATGTATTCCGGAACATTGTCGTTGCCCTTAGTGTACAGCAGGTAGTTAATGTCGAATTTTGGTGGCTCGTTGTGGGGAATCTTGTGGCCTTAAATGAAATTAATAGATATTTTTAAGTATGCGGACTCAATGAAAGGGTTAAACCTAAATTTCAAATAAAACTCAGAATGTCGAAAATGCCAATAGCTTTGTGGACTCTATAGAAAGGATGTTGAATAGATGTTATTAACTATGTGGACTCTCTGAAAAGGATATAGAATTGACAAACTTAGTGGCTGAGTGGATACTAGAATACCAAATAAATATTATTAACCACGCGGACTCTCTAAAATGATGATATATCAGCTTGTGTCATATCGAATATAAGCGAATTGTTCGGAATAACTTGAGCACAATATTTTGCATCAATGAATTTTATTGGGCTAGAGTTAAGCTCAAACCAAACATAACTTAACTCGCAAGGTCTTGATCGACCAAATTGTGCCCCTTTGGCCAAGAATTCAAAAATAAACTTACCGTCATTATCGTTTTCAGCAGAATTGCTTTGTTTCAATCCCAACAACTGTAAGTAATGATAAAAGAATCCTTTTGGTTTATCAGCTTCTTTACTTTCGTTACTACCATCATCGCCATTGCTATCACTGCCATCGCTGCTGTCACTGTCGCTTTCACTGCCATGGCTATCATTGTTGTTGCTGTCACTGTCATGGCTTTCACTATCATCACTGTCATGACTGTCACTGCCATGGCTATCGCTGCTGTCACTATCTTGGCTGCTGCTGTCACTGTCATGGCTGTTGCTATCATTGTCATGGCTATTGCCGTCACTGTCATGGCTATCGCTGTCACTACTGTCATGGCTGTCGCTATCACTATCATGACTATCATTGTCATGGCTATCGCTGTTACTGACGCTATCACTGTCTCGACTGTTGCTGTCATAGCTGTCGCTTCCACTGTCATGGTTGTTGCTATTACTGTTGATATCGCTGTCGTTGTCATGGCTATCGCTGTTGCTGTCGCTATCACTGTCTCGGCTGCTGTCACTGTCATGGCTGTTGCTATCATTGTCATGGCTGTTGCTGTCATTGTCATGACTGTCGCTGTCACTACTGTCACTGTCATGGCTGTCGCTATCACTATCATGGCTATCATTGTCATCGCTATCGCTGTTGCTGACGCTATCACTGTCTCGACTGCTGTCACTGTCATGGCTGTTGCTATCATTGTCATGGCTGTTGCTGTCATTGTCATGACTGTCGCTGTCACTACTGTCACTGTCATGGCTGTCGCTATCACTATCATGGCTATCATTGTCATCGCTATCGCTGTTCCCGACGCTATCACTGTCTCGGCTGTTGCTGTCATGGCTGTCGCTTCCACTGTCATGGTTGTTGCTATTACTGTTGTTATCGCTGTCATTGTCATGGCTATCGCTGTTGTTGTCGCTATCACTGTCTCGGCTGCTGTCACTGTCATGGCTGCTGCTGTCACTGTCATGGCTGTTGCTGTCATTGCCAGGGTTATCGCTGTTGCTGTCGCTATCACTGTCTCGGCTACTGCTGTCATGGCTGTTGCTATCATTGTCATGGCTGTTGCTGTCATTGTCATGGCTGTCGCTATCACTATCATGGCTATCATTTTCATCGCTATCGCTGTTCCTGACGATATCACTGTCTCGACTGTCTCTGTCATGGCTGTCGCTTCCACTGTCATTGCTGCTGTTGCTATTACTGTCGCTATCGCTGTTCTTGTCATGGCTATCGCTGTCTCGGCTGTTGCTGTTACTGTCATTGCTGTTGCTATCATTGTCATGACTGTTGCCGTCACTGCCATGGCTATCGCTGTCACTACTGGCACTGTCATGGCTGTCGCTATCACTGTCTTGGCTGCTGCTGTCACTGTCATGGCTGCTGCTCTCATTGTCATGGCTGCTGCTGTCACTGTCATGGCTATCGCTGCCATTGCTGTCATTGTCATGGCTATCGCTGTTGCTGTCGCTGTCATTGCTGTCATTGTCATGGCTATCGCTGTTGCTGTCGCTGTCATGGCTGCTGCTCTCATTGTCATGGCTGCTTCTGTCACTGTCATGGCTATCGCTGTTGCTGTCGCTGTCACTGCTGTCATTGTCATGGCTATCGGTGTCGCTGTCACTGCTGTCATTGTCATGGCGATCGCTGTTGCTGTCGCTGTCACTGCTCTCATTGTCATGGCTATCGCTGTTGCTGTCGCTATCACTGTCTCGGCTGTCACTATCATGGCTGTCGCTATGGCTGCTGTCACTGTCATGGCTCTTGCTATCACTGTGGTTGTCATTGTCGCTGCTTTCGCTATCATTGTCTCGGCTGTCGCTACCATTCTCATTCTCATCGATATCACTGCTGTCATGATCATGGCTGCTGCTATCACTGTGGCTATTGCTGTCATTGTTGTTGCTACCGCTATCACTGCTGTCATGATCATGGCTGTTGCTATCACTGTGGCTATTGCTGTCATTGTTGTTGCTACCGCTATCACTGCTGTCATGATCATGGCTGTCGCTGTCACTGCCATTACTATCACTGCCATGGCTGTCGCTATGATTGTCGTTGCTGTTGCTGTCACTGTCATGGCTATTGCTGTCGCTGTTACTGTCTTGGTTATTGCCGTCACTTCTATCACTGTCACTAAAGGTAGTGCTATCGTGACGAAGCTGATTTCTACCACTTTCATCGCTGTCTTTGTCATTGGTGTTTTCATCACTAGCTTGTTTGTCGTCATCATTTGCTTTGATGTCAAGATTAGTTTTAATGTCGTTATCAATATCTTTGATTTCGCCACCATAAGCGTTCTTGGCGTCTTCATAAGCTTGTTTGGCGTCAGCATGGACATGTTTGGCATCATCAAAGGCTTTTTTGGCATCATCAAAATCGTGTTTGGCGTCATCATAGGCTTGTTTGGCGTCATCATAAGCTTGTTTGTCGTCATCATAAGCTTTTTTGTCATCATCTTTGGCTTGTTTGGCGTCATCATAGGCTTGTTTGGCGTCATCATGGACTTGTTTGGCGTCATCATAAGTTTGTTTGGCGTCATCATGAACTTGTTTGGCGTTATCATAAGCGTGTTTGGTTTCATCATAGGCAAGTTTAGCGTCATCAAAGGCTTTTTTTTCGTGACCATTGGTTTCTTTGGTGTCATCTTTGGCTTGCTCGTCTACACCATTGACTTTGTTGTCGTCACCTTTGTGTTTGTCGCCATTTTTCTCCAAATCCATATCAATTGCTAATCTTATTCCATCTCCCCTTAGAGATACTTCACCAATTTTGAAGTTCATGGCCATGTTCAATGCCTGGAGGACATTTTGGATGCTCGGATAAAGCTTTATATGTCGTACAAGTGGCCAGTTGCCGTCGGAATGGAATCCTTTGGCACCATTGTCGTCATCAGCTTTATCGTCTTCATTACGATCATCATGAACATGGTCCTGGTCTTCGTTATGATCATCATTATCATGGTCGTTGTCGTCAATGCCATCTTTTCTGTCGTGGGTCAAAGCATTCTGATCATCACTATCATCAGACCATCTTCTCTTCTCTATATTTCGCCCAAGAACACAGCTTAGGGTAACCAAGAGACAAAAGCAGAGCATGAGTACCTTCATGTTGACTTGACTGACGTCGTAACTGAGTACCACTGACTGTTTCCCATTTGAGCTTTCTATTTATTTGGAAGTTTGACAGATAAAAATCATTTTCAGTTTTCAAAAAAAAAATTTAAACAGATTGATTAAAATACATAAAAGGATTTTTTTTTAATTCTAGATGACATTGAGTACGTGACATTACTTACAATCACCTTGAAGCTGAGACTGTCGTTACAGTGGGTGTACAATGGGAGCATTAGCCTCTCCTAAAAAAGTGGTTTGCACCCCCAATTGTACCCCCACTTTATTTTCAACAAACTTAAAATGTCTACCTTTTTCTCCAAAATATGTGATAATGGGGACTCAGGTATGGAAGCCGGCTATGGCCATATTACCCTCGCCCACGAGAAGTCGAGAGACGACAAAGCGAGGAAAAAGGCGATAAAGCGAGGGTAAAATAAGGCGAGGAAGAAGGAAAAGTTTCCTCGGTTTCTCGCCATTTTCCCGCTTTCTCGACTTCTCGCCTTTTTTACTCTCGCTTTCTCGCCTTTTTCCTCGTTTTTTTTCTCGTCTTTTTCTTCGCTTTCTCGCCTTTTCCTCGCCTTTTTTTCATCGCTTTCTGGCCCTTTTCCTCGCTTTCTCGCCTTTTTCTTCGCCTTTTTTCCTCGTCCCTTTCCTCGCTTTTTTCATTCGTCTTTATCAGTGCA